TATTCGGTTTGCACTCAACAACAGTTGTAGACCATTAAGCATGATGGAAAGCAAACGTAAGTTATCATGGCAGGCTTTGCAAGATCGGCGGAAAAGCCTTAGACTGAAATTTTTTCACACTATATACCGTTCTAAAACCGGCATTGAGTGAGAAAGGTATATCAAGTTACCTACTTACGTCTTGTGAAGATGCAAGTACACTCTGAAAGTTCGTGAATTGCCTTTTAAGGGTGATGTCTTCAAGTTTTTTTTTTTTTTCACAATCCATAAGAGAATAGAGTTCCACAATCCATAAGAGAATAGAGTGCTCTATCGCCTGACATTAAGAACATTTTGAACAATGATGCATTTTACTGCGCTTTATGAATGTGTTTACTCTGTATATTCTTTGTGTGTAACCTCCCTGCTGTAATGCCCAGTGGGCCAATGCAGGTATTAAATAATAAATAATGAATTAATAAATAATGGTGCCAAGCCTAAAGGAAAAGCAAAGCTGGGAAGCCTTAGTTTGCCTTCTTTCTTTCTTCCATCGTGCTCTTTCCTCATCTTTGTTTTTTTTTCTGTAACTTTTGTCTTGTTTAATTCTGGTTCTTTCTTTTCATGTATTTCTTTCTATTTCTCGCCTTTCTCTATTTCTTGCTTCTTTTTTTCTTCTTCTTTCTCTTACTCTTTTTATTTGTGTCTATTTTATAGGTTCTCTTTCTGTCTGTCTTTCCTTCTTTTTTTCTATTTCTCTCTTTCTTTCCGTACTATCTTTTACTTACTCTCGCCTCCTCCTTTTCGGTCATGATGTCTTTGTTTTTTGGTTTTCTAGCATCACATGCGTATTACATCTGGGGAATCAAGCAAGATCCAACGCTTGAAACTTTGTATGCTTGTGTACAGATGTGCTATAGTGCCTGCATGCATATGGAGGCAAGGAGTACAGAACTCAGGTTCTTCCTTGCTCCAAAGCGACACTGCTCATCTTTGGTGGCTGCTCTTTGTGGCACGGTACACACTTAAAAAAAACACATTTGACAGTCCTAACATGAGGACCATCTGCTGTGTGCTGAGTCGCACACTTAAGAACTTTCAATTGAGTTTTGCATCCTTCAGTGGTGGTCCAGCTGCACCAATTGCACCATTTTTTCACAATTCCATATCCCTGTGTCTTGCTGCTAACATTCAAGTGCTTCTTGTGCCAACTGTGCCAAAGTTCCCTAGTCCACTTGTTTACATGGCATTGGACCATTTAAAGTACAAAAATATTCTTGGTCGCAACAAACATTGCTAAAGCTTTTGTATATTGCCCCCAATGCCCCTTGATTCATTTCAACAATGTACTTTTTGTTATTATATTCAGCGTAACAGCAGTGTCTGTGACACCACATGTGCCTTTGTTCTTGTAGGTATGCCATCGATAGTCTCTTTTATATGTTCGGGAACCGGCGATAACCCATATAAAAGTGATTTTTATCATTCGTGAGTAACTTCACATATTGTAATGTAGACACCGCTGCAACAGATATCGGCGCTGCCCAATGTAAACATTTTTACACAAATGAAGATTCAGTCGTGCAAAAGTTTGATATTTTGCAATAAATGTAAATGTCTTTTAACAGTGCTTTGCAACATTCTTTGGTATGCCTTTCGTAAAGCTAAGCTTAATTGCCCACGTTTCAGGGTTCAGCTCTTGCTGTACCCTAAAATGTCCTTCCGGGCCCAGTCTTCCAAGGAGTGGTGATTGTGGGGAAAAGAGGGGTGTTTGGTCGTACCATCCCCCCATCCCACCCCTAACCCTAGGACCCTGAAGGAAATAAAAAAACTGCTGGCTCTCCGTCCACCTAACCAGTCGGTTGTCATCTGTCATTTGGCTAACTTCAATATGTTTGCAAGAAGCCATGTTATTGCCCAACCATGTGAGTTTCATGAGGACTCATACCCAGCGATCTCTTCTTGATAAGCATATTAAAGTGAAAAGTTTCTTGAACGCTGGGGGTCGCTGTAGCCAATGTTTCGACAAGCAGACTTGTCTTTTTCAAGGCTGTCTCGAAGAAGAGCATCCCTCCCTTTCATACTTGAATTGATCACCTACTCTGGCTTGGTGGCAGTTCATTTTGTGCCAGTTTTAGTTTTTACAAGACTTTTTCTGAGTATTTGCAAAATCGAAGTGCTCAACCCACAGTCCTTGGCAGTAAAAACAAGAATATTCTATTCAGTGTGCACACCTCTAGAAATTATTGAGTACAACGGAACTGATTCATAGTGAGTTGTTGAGATTATTGAATTCGCTATCTACGCTGGCAATTTCAGACAGTATGTTCTCATTTGCAATGAGTTTTCTTCGCCTTCTTTCTTTCATTGTTAGATTGCTGGTTTTCTGGATAGGACCTTTTTTTTTTTTTTTTGAATGACCCTATGACACTTGTCATTTGTGAAAACTATATGTGCACGCTTTCCTTGTCACTAATTGTTCTCTTCAACACATCTCGGGCAGTACAGTGAAACCAGAGTGGGACACCTTTTTGTACTAAGAGCTATTATAACCCCTTAACTGCCTTGGACGAGTAGAACTCGTCTTAGCGCGATAGGTACTCCCCTCTAGCGTTCAGGCGGAGTAGCGCGCATTTACAGCTTACAGTGCATGTTATCCACCAGATGGCAGCATTTTCTTGAGAATTTATTTTTCTCCTGCGGCAGGAGTGTGGTCTTTGTAGGGAAAGACGGCATGCGGTGGAGGCGACACATGCATTGCTGGCCCGTGAACAGGGGAAAAAAAAATGCTATTCGTTTTCGCAATATTCTCAGAGGAATGACGATTCGAGTAAAAATAATTATCATGTGTCCTGAAGCGAAGATAGCGATAACGGTGAATTGAGTAGCTGCTTCGGTGATGATGAAGACAGCTCGGACGCGAACATTGCGAGTGCCCGCCAGTGAAGCCGCCTTGCATTATTCTGCATTTTGAAATTTCCCACGTAGCCCCGAAGCTTCCAGAGTGAAGTACCACAAGGGTGCTTAGCCTACAGAAGTGAACAAAGATGTGGCATCAGTAACTGTTTGGTTTATTAGGTTTTTAAATGTTATTAGCTGCAGGTAGCTGGTTCCCTATGTATTGTTGAGAAATGAACTTTATTTTGTTGATTTGACTAAGTATGCAGAGAAAATTTTTTTCAACATGGACTAGCTACTTTTTAGTACAATTAGATTTAAAATCAGCAATAAAATAAATAGGCACCTTTTGACCGAACATTTAAAAAAAAAAAAATGAGCTGTTAAGGGGTAATGGCTGCTCTTTAGGTGTTAGCCTTGTCTTCTTGTTTACATTGAAGCAATATGTTCAGTACGCACATGAATAAGAATTTTCGCTGAAAACTGAGAATTCTGCTACAAGTGATCCTAAATTCAATTTTGTCAGCTCCAAAACATGGTTCCTCCTGCTTCAAATCTGCTCTGAAACATTTTTTCCTGTTCCAAAAATTACTCCAAATCCTTGAAGGGACACTAAAGGCAAATAACGATTTATGTCAGAGTGAAAGCTGAATGTTTGACGTCTAAAACAACAATATTATTATCAACAGCAGTGCCCTATTTACTGAGAAATTAAGCTAAGTGTATCAGACAATGTGTGCCATGAGCAAAATATTTTGGAAATGACCTCGATGACGTGAAAGCATCCAACTACATTTAATCAATAGTAATTAACTAGCTGCAATAAAAAAAATGCCTTCCATGCATCAAAAGACTTAATAAAATTGTGCTTGTCCATTTCTGTTTGGTTTATAGAAAAAAGATCCGACTGGTGTTACTATGGGGAATGGTGGGAGTGGTTCAAATGGTCTGTTTTTGTCTGGTTAGACTGGATAAGTGGTGCCATCTAGCGGGTCCTAGTTGAACCAAGCAAACAGATAATTGTTCAGTGGCCATTGTTCCTGCTGGCGCTTTGAGGCGCGTTCACTCTTGGCATCAAAGGGAGAGAAAGCGGCAAAACGTGATGAAAATTCACTAGCTTCGCCGCTTTAGCGGCTGCAAAAACACGCCACGAAGTCGACATGAAATAAATCAGTCCTGGAGAATTCAAGCGAAAACGCCAGTGCGGCCCCAAAAGCATGTTCATGCCCGCTGAGAATGTTCGCATTCGTTCGGCCATCACCGCTTTCGCCACTCGAGAATTTATTTCTCAGCATTAAAATCCATACCTAATTTTAGTTATGCATGCAAAGCACTGAAAAGAAACAGTTTACATAGGGGATACGGCAGAAGAAACAACACAAGTTAACGCACTGACAGCAGCGGCGACAGATTCAGCCGGCAGTGCAAAAGCGAGACACGTTAGGGCATGTCAACTTGCTGCTGCTGCACTTTCTTCTACTTCCGGCATTCGCAGCGATCATAATTCAAACCAGGCCCCCAATGAACGTGTCTTTTTCAAGGCCGTGAGCTTTGTTGTGGTGCGCGTGCGATTGCGCTGACGGGAGCCACCGCCGACACATTTGCCGCCACCTTAAATGTATGCTTGTTTACCTCACATGGTTTGAGACCTACGGCAGTCGATGTAGCCAAAGCTGTAGCAGAGAGCCGGTCCTCTACCGCGTGGCAGCAAAATTGGTCTCGGACTTATTTTTCTGCGTCGGCCTCGCAGCATGGTTTTCCGGCCACTTTTTCGGCGGCTAAGCGAGGGAAATTTCGGTGAGTCTTGCCGCATTCACTTCCTTCGAGGCCAAATGTGAACAATCCTTCCTCCCACAGACAAGCCGTATTGCGCCGCTCACATGCAGCAGTCAATCGCGCGTTCGTATCATCCACGATTGCTAGGAAAACAGGTTGTGTAGTACTGAATCATGGCATATTTTATATAATGTAGTACATCCTAAGCAACCTTAAAATTTGTATCATCACGAAATTCACATCAGCCATAATCGTATCATCGAGATTCTACTGTATTATGGTCTTGACTGTATGTATGTTTTGCGAAACATGTTTCTTATTATTTTCCCACTTTGTTCTCTTCCTGCCAGGGCACGTTCTAGCATCTTGAAGCAGTGTGACGCGAAAGATCGCGAGCGGGTGGTGGTGAAGTTTATTAAAATCATGAAGCACTTGCGCAAGATCAACAATTTTAATTCTTACCTGGCCATACTGTCAGCACTGGATTCCGCGCCAATCCGTCGTCTGGAGTGGCAGAAAAACATCACTGAGGTAAACATGACGCTTCATGCTGGCACTTTGCAAAGTTTTCCTGTTGTTCTTCTTCTATCCCGTTAAGCCTTGATGTCATTTTATTCACATACTTTGGTACTTTTTCTAGGGCCTCAAGGAGTACTGCGCCTTGATAGATAGTTCATCATCTTTTCGTGCGTATAGACAAGCTCTGGCAGAGACGACACCACCTTGTATTCCTTACATGTGAGTGTTTATGAAACATAAGTTTTAAAGAACATTTGTGGTTGATGAGGCTGACTATAGCAATTATAAGTGTCATTCATTCAATTCGTGCTATGTTTGCCTACTAGCCATTGATGTTCTTGTGTTGCTTATGCATGTATTCAAGCTTTCATTTTGACATTTCTGCATGCTACAGTGATACTGTTGAGTTGTGATATGTAATGCCTCAAGGCATTCATCTCTTTATATATATGTTTCCAAAATATTTAGCTGTCAAGGTCCTCTCAACTCACTTGGTAGTCATTTAGAATCTACTCTCATGTCCACTTGAAAGCTAACAACATGGAAACCTTGTTTTAATGTGTGGAGATGTGTTTGTGGCTCATTCAACTTTTGCCAAAGGTAAGCGACAAAGTTAGGATGAGCCTGGCAAATGGCCTGCTCTACCTTCTCAGTGTTGGGTACTATAGGTCTGGCCAGAAGGTAGGGCTCCGGGATAGCCGTGATGTACTTGAGCAGAGATTTATTGGGATGCTGCTTTGCCTGCCAGCAATGCAGGCAAAGCATTGCCTAACATTATGCTGTCGTTCAGCCAGATTGCCTTTCGATAGCGGTGCTGTGCCTAGAGGTGTTCAGTAGTGCTTGTGTGGTCTGAATAACGGCTGTATTCGGGAAGAGGTACCGCTAGGCTACTTGGTGCACTTGGCTAAGGGGTCTCTCTGAAAGGGGAGGAGGGGGGTGTTACTATTCATGCCAGACCCAAAAGGGTCAGTAAATAACATGAAGGAGGATAGGGTTTTCAGCTCTAACAGGTGCATGAGGCCTCAAGCGATAGGTGTAGCTGGACGAGTTGTCAGAAGCTATGTGGAGGTGGGTTTCGTGAGGCTTATGCTCTGAGCACAGCCAAGAAAGGGACAATCCGCCCAAGAGTGCACAAAGCTGCTGCAGTCAGGCGTGTCGTCTCTCCAACAAGGCACAGAAAAGGCATCCTAAGTGGATTGCCAGAAACAGGGCTTTACTAACTTGGGATGCAGCATAATGTGATAGTCATGAATGCTCGCCAAAAAGGACTTGCCGCAAGACCAATCGAATACACAGTGTTGCAGTGCTATCAGCTACCACACAAAGGGGTTCACCAAGCACACACACGAAGTTGCCTGCAAATGCAGCATGTAGCCAACTTGGTGCACGCCCGTGAGCATCTCTCTGAACCAACCTAGCACCAGCCAGAAGAAAGCACAGGTGGAGAGGGGGTCCAAGAGCCAGCATGGGCGGCAGCGAATGAGCTAGGGTGGGACATGATGTTTGCTAGCATGGTGTGTGGCATTCCACCATCTTACCACTAGGAGGGAGAAGCATGACTTGTGTGAGAAATGAATTTCGATGGCATGGTCACCATGCTGTTGTTTTGTGTCTGTTTGTGGCAATCAAGCAACTTGAGGCCAGCCTAATATGCTAGCTAAAGGATGAGGCACAAAAGATGAGGCACTGTCAATCGCCCCAAATATGAAGCCTTTTCAGTATCTTGAATCTTAATCAGTATGGGAATCATGGTCTCTATGAATGTTAAATCACGACGCAGGAGCCCTAAGAAGAAAGAAAAATTCTTTATAAGTGAAAGACTTATTTATGAAAAAAAAGCCGCTTAACAAAAAGACACAAAGTATTATAACACTTCTCACGCGCTATGTACAGAAACTAGTAAGTCATACTTACAATACACATCAGATGCATGGCCTTGACGTGGCAGCGGTTCCGGTGTCAAGTTGCATACTCGTTGCGTCGCTGGTACAGGGCAGTCAGCTGCACCGTCAGGTCTCTGTAATGTCAGGTCACTGTAGCATCGGGTCCTCACAATGGCTGTACCACTCCTCCTTCAGGTGCACAGCCTACAGAGCGTAGCCGCAGAACATCTTGCGCGTCCTCGCGAGGATGACGTTGCTCAGCCAAGTTCCACTCTTGGTTGTGCCCCACAGCTTACAGGGCGTTACTGCAATGGCTGGGGGACGTCCTTGCCAGGATCTCTGCACGCGGTCCTTGGTAGAATGTCATTCTGCTGCAGCTGCTCGTTCATACCTCGTCCTGGTCCCGGTGCTCTACCACCTCTCCCTTTCTTCTCCGCCGGCCATGTCTTCCGTTCACGCTCCTTTTTCTACTTCTACTTCTTCATTTTTTTTTTTTTCAATTCTCTTTTCGTATCATTTACTTTTTTGTTTTATTTTTCATTTGAAATTCTTCATTTATGTTTTTTTTTTGCTCACTCCACACCCGTAAGTCAAAATATTCATGACAAATGGTAATGAAGCTTTGCAATTGCTTTATGTTGCAATGGTTCACCATGCGTCTCACACACAATTTAAAAAATAAGGACTACTCAAACGACTATATATTAGGAATGGTGGTCTGTTGTGTTGAACGTAATGTTCTGGCAACAATTGTGCTCATCCTAGTGCGTGGTCTTTTCATAAAATAGCTTTTTTGTGCTCTTTTAAGGAATTTAGTAGTTACATAGCTGTCCTTCTTTTCTCTAAATGAAACTCTCTTAAATGAAATTGCTGCTTAAATGGAACAACTGCCACTAATATGTTTGGTTTTCTATTTGAATATTGTACCCGTGTTTGTCTCTCAGTAAATAAGACTCCTCTTAAAAAGGAAACACATTCTCCTGGTCCCTTCAGGTTTCGTTTAAAAGGAGTCTACTGTACAAACATTTTTTTTATTACGCATGAAAAGGGCAATGGAGTATGGGGAGTAAACAGGTAGTATGAGTGGAGAAAGCAGAGAGAGGTGGTAAGCGTGTTGGGGGGGGGGGGGGGGGGTTGAGAAATGATATTACTACATTACATAGTAATGGGGAGGTAGGTTCAGGTTGGTAGGTAGTAGCAGCATCATCCTTGTTGGCATTGCACCAATGGGTGTGTATGATTCACCATCATGTCACCTCCTTAAATGAACACGTCGCACACTTGTTCTTCTTTGGTTTTAGCTTTGTTCTGCTGGAGAGCCAATTCAAAAGCTCAGGACAAGTGTTCCCATGTTGTCAGATCAGTATGCATACCAGGATAACTAGAGCTCCTTGCATTGGCCAAGATAGTCAGCTTCATTTTCTGCTGTATCAATAGCTTTTTTACTAAATGAAGCTAGTGGAAGCATCTGGTGTGTCATTTCTTTGCATCATTTTAAGTCTGCATGGAGCCAGTTTAGGAGCTCTTGTAAAAAGCACTTCCTGCAGCCCCTTGAAATCAGCCTGTCCCACCAAAGACACTAGCTATATAAAATCTAATGCGCAAATGAATTAACAGTTGTTGAAATATTACTTCTTTTCCTCAGTGGGGTCTTGTGCAATGTCAGCTCCCTCTGTTTTGATGTTGCTGATTATGCTGTGCGATGGAATGTGCTTGTTTTTTGGTGTGCCACATCTGTCATGTCTTGCTACAACACACACTAAGTTCCTCCTTCCTGCCATGCTGTTCCGGACAGTACCTCACACATAACCTAGAGGCAGCCATGTTTGATCTGGGGCATGATCCTTGATGTATCCACCATCGTGTGGACTGTCCCCTTTGGACTCCAGTAATTTTCTGGATTTCAGCAAGCAGTGCACCCCCTGTTTTCGGTCCTTCATCCGGGATGTCGTTTTGATGTCATGAAGCTTTCACAACTCTCAACACATATTAGAATGACGGAATGCATTTCACCATAATGAATGCTACCCCCAGAAGTGTAGATGTGCATTTTCTGGGACGTACAGAGGGGTCCACTGTTAAAGAAAACATCCGAGCGTGTTTTGTCTGCTCGGCACCACCGCCAGCCAGCTGAGGCAACAAGTTTCGCGCAGGGGCAGTGAGCCCTGTAGGTGGTGCTCGTTTGTCGTCTGCTACAGTTCCGGCCACGCTTCAGCTCATCACGAAGCCAGCCGTCCTTGTGCTTTGAAATTCAACCGCAGGCTGCATGGCCACATTCAGATGGAAAGCTGTGGCAAAACTCAAAAGATATTGGATTATGTAAAATGCTACCTCATTGATAGTTTTGGTGGTTAGAGAAGCATGACTTCTTCTTTACAGACGTCTTTTTCTAGCATAACTATGTGAAAGAATATTTTTTCTTGTGGTGTGCGTATTTGATGCTCACTAATGCAGATTTGAGGTGCTGCAGTGCGTAAGCTCAACAAAGTATTGACAAGCACCTTTAAATGACATCACCAGAAATCTTTCTCAATGCGAGCAATTACTTTATCTAACAAGATGTGAACGAAAGACGGCTGATATGTCAGGTGACATTTCGCTGATTATAGATGATTCTCATCATTTTCCTTCTAGCTCAAAAGAAAGTGACTATTTTTAAGATTTTGCGACTTAGGCTGCCCATCGCAGTGAGCTGAAGAGCGGCTCCAACTGTAGCAGACGACAAACGAATGCCGCCCTCAGCGCTCACTGCTCCTGCACGAAACTAGTTGCTGCAGCCGACCGGCGGTGGCGCCGAGCAGACAAGACGCGCTCCGGTGTTCCCTTTAACAGCGGACACCTCTTTACATCGGCTATGCATCTCAGAGATGTGCATCCTCCGGAAGACTCACATCTCGGAGGTTGTACATAAACTCTAATCCCGTTAGTCCTTGAATTGGGTTTCATGTGGCAGCCCACCTAACGTACCTGGATAGTTGGTACGCATTGCCTTCATCATTTTTAAACAGCTGAACATGTTCCTATGCAAGTTCAGACTTGTCAAGTTTATTTAACTGCCTTGGTACTGTACACTTTGTACAATTTCTTTCTCTTTACACTGGGAATGCTCTGGCGGGTTTGATGCATCGATGTGGTATAGAGCACCATGACGTCACATCTCGCCGCTTTTTCAAGTTACGGAATGCGCTTCGCCGAAGTGGACACGTCCACTAGGTAGATCCATCGAGAATTGTACCTCTGGTTTTCTTTAAATAGTATATATTGTGACAGCGTAATGTATTTATTTATAGGGTGGGAAATTTTATCACTCAGAGCAAAAGCAGTTCACAGCGCTGTTCATGAGCCAGTCCAGCTTCACCCTCCTCCTCTTCCTCTACCCATACTAGCACATTTTTCTTCCCCACCTGTAGACGATGCCCACAGGTAGTGTCAGTCGGAATGTTAACGGTAATAAGGTTTCACATGCGCCTCCTGTATTTCTTTCAATGCCACTACAAATGCATGCTCCTCAGTGGCAGCCGTCACTCAGCCTTAGTTCAGGGATAGCCAGTGATGTGATGCCACATAAAGGGTAAGGCTGCTTGCGTCACACGTGTGTCTGAGCGCTTTCCCACGGATGTGCGATAGACGTGTTTCCCTTTCCAATGTCATACATCTGTCAGATTTGTTCCTTCGTGCTCCTTTCTTGTGGCTCAAAGCAATGCCGCCGCTGCCTCACAGCGTTCTTAAAGTCAGTGCATGCAGCAGCATTGCAGTGGCACTTCCCCATTAGTTGTTCGCATAGGGCCACAAATGAAGGCATGCTGTCTCAAAACACTGTCTCTTACTGAGCCCGTGTGACCGCCAACATTCTGAACGTGAGGAATGCAAGACGCTGCCTCGTGGATCTCTACACAAGTGAGCGAAAAATTACTTCAGATGATTTCCGTCGTGAGGCACCACATTCTCTCCCCAATGACTGCAAAGCATACGTGAAGGCTAGGCCATGGGCTAGAGCAAGAAAGGGCTAGAGAAGAGGGTGGTGAACGGCAGGATCGAGTGCATCTGGCTGGCATTGAAAAAAATGGAGGAGGCGCTGGCATAACAAACGAAGTGATATCAGGCGTCATAACAGGTCATGAAGCACTGTTGAGATGCCATAGTTCACAGGCATACGATGCAACTGGTGTCTTCAGTGCGGCAAATTGACTTGGCAGCCACTGTTTCCACATCCAGTGTAAAAGGCAGGATAGTGTCAACACAGCTGCTAGGGAAGCAAGCGTAAAGCAGAAAAAAAGGGAGGGTATTTTGTCGTCTCACGTTTCGCAGTGTTCTAAGCGTATGTGCTTGTAATCAACATAAATCAATAGCATGTTTGTTATAGTCCAGTCGGTATGCTCTGCGAAGCCATTGGTCTTTGGGTTATGGGGGTGGCATGGTAGAATTGGAAGGCAGGCAGACGCAGGATTTCTTCGTCAGTGATGAACTGAAGTCCCCAGTTGCTAATGACAGCATGTGGAGGACCATCGCATAGGTCTATAAGATGAAACATGAAGTGCAACAGTATTTTGAGCCATGTAAAAAGAAAAAATTGCTTTGTTGTACCAAGTGCTATGTCAGATTCCACATTCTTGGCTTTGTTATAAACGAAGCGTGACCAGAAAGCTGCTCATTTACTTTAGCATCCTGTAATGTGCTACATCTTTGTTTATTATATATTAAGTTTTGGCTGAAGTCATTGTTGGTGTCCAAATACATTCCTCCAAATGCTAAAAGGCTATATATTCTAACATTTTTAGCATTTTTAGGTGTTTTACACCTGTCCACTGTCCAGTATATTCATTTCTTTTTGTCTTTTCAAAGCTTATAGGCATCAGAAGAGCTTCGGTTTAGTAAGTAAGGTCTTTAAAGGCACTTTTTGTGGTGTTTTATTGTGTCATTTAGTTTATTCACAGGGCACATTGTTAAGTACTGTATTTTTGTTTCAGTGGTCTGATACTGCAAGATTTGACTTTTGTGCATGTGGGGAACACTGATTATATCACAGACTCCATTGTGAACTTCACTAAATGCTGGCAGCAATTTCACATTCTTGAGCCTATGAGGTGCTTCAAGAAAAAGCAAGTAGTTTGTCACATCATTTTGTGATATTTGAACATGCCTAATTTTTCGTGTTTGCCTGTTATGCTTTGATATTTCAAACTCAGGTGCACTCAAGAGGAAGCTTTAGCTGAAGGCCACATATGATATTCCCATTAATTTGCATGTAAAATGCATAAATGCTTTTTTATGAGGCAACCATTAAACTATTTTAGGTGAAACTTATGAAATTTCAGAGAAAAGGCTAATTTTAAAGAGAAAAAAGTGTAGTTAAAGGTCTGAAACTTTTTCCAGAAAATTTCTGAAAATTGGAAAACTTAAAAAGAAGCATGAAATTTACAAATCCATGACTGCACCAAAAGAACACATACATATTACAGTTTTGGAAACTGCATCTGTTAGAGCATCCAAAGTGCATAAACTTGATGTACAAACTTACAGCTCACATGACATTGTTACAATGTTATGAAAATTTGCAGGAGCACTACTTGCAGATTAGGGGTATACTTTAAAGCATTGTGTAATAATGCATTTTAATGGGTCTGCTGGTTCTGTTTGATGATTGAGTACTGTGCTTTAAGCAATACGTTTGGCTTGGATTTAAAGGACCCCTAAACCACCCAGCGATCGAAATTTAGTTGATGTGAGGAAGTTGTGATCGAGTTTACAACGAACATGTAGCCGTGAGAACTTTTCTAAACTGTGCCGTAATAGCGGAGTTACATGCGTTTGAAGATCGAAACGCGACAATGGCTTCTTTCCCCCTTTTCTACGCTACCCTCTTCCGAAACTGCTTGGCCTCTCCTCGCTGAGTCAGCCGAGACCCCGTTCTCATCTCGCGTGGCATACGTCACCGCTGACGTGCTGTTCGAGACAGCGTCTACTTCCGGTTGCCGCGATTCGCCACTCCGATGACCCAGCTTGCCGTCAAATGTGTTGTGCGTGTCATCTGGGTGCACTGATCGTTGACTAACCGCTGTTGCTGTCGTGCCGGCCCGTGCCCTTACGAATCGTGCCGGTATGGACCTTGTGTTAAGTTATGAGCCGCAGATGTCGATTCGCAAGCGGCAACACGACTAAGAGCGGCAATGTGCGCGCGAACAGCTGTTTACAGAGTGAATGGAAGCCGTTGGTTGTCGTTCGGCCACTCGCAAGCATCGAAAGTGGTAGTCATCGAGTTTCACTGATAATGTCACCCATGTTAGTGGTGTGAATGGCGGGGACCGAAAAAGAGAAGCTATTGTATTTTTGATATTGTGGCACGCCCGCTACTGTAGCGCTGCAGCGTGTGGCATCATTGATCGTGACAGCATTCTGCATGCGATTCACTTGTTTACACGAAATGTTTCGGAAAATATCGGAGGGGGTTCAGGGGCCCTTTAAGGAACGAGCCAGTAGACATACATTAAGCGTAGTTCACATGCTTTTGATATTTTAATTCGTTACATCCATGTCAAAAGTATTGCTTGTGGTACAGGATTCCAGCGAGTGTATAATTAATATACATTAAGTTCATTGGCTTTAGATGTATTTAATAGGTGCAATTTACAGAATATTGATCATATTTTCAATGTATTTAGAAAGCTGTAAACTTGAATTAAAGTTATATTCTAAGCTTTCTAGATTTTAGCTTTATTTTTAAATGTAACATACTTCCTGAAATGTAGTGGTTACTAAATGAAATTGATTTCTCCATTTACTTGTGTTAAGATAAAAGCCCTTGAGGTAAAGCTTCCTTTTAAGCCCTTGTTAAATCTTGGTTAACTGCATGCTTACAATTTTACTAGGCAATTTCCGTGATTTCCACGTGCAGTAGACCTGTGCAGCTGTTTCCATTTACCATGCAAAACTCTACTACTAAGTTTCAAACTATTGAAATCCAGTACCACATATTTTAGAAGTTAAACACTTTCTTTCACTTGCTCTTTCTCCTCTTTTTTTTTTTTAATCTTATTCAGTGGCTAGCCCTAGCAAAAAGCACATGCAGCAGCAAGCATGTGCAGGTGCCAGAACATGAACAGAATGGATTTAGAAAATAATTGCTATAAATTTAGTAGTATTTTTTAATCACATTCACTTCATTTGCGCCTGCATGATATAAATAGAGGGAGTGCACATTCTTATAAATCCTTTAAATTCAAGTTAATGATAAAGGTAGAAGTAGGATGTGGTGCACGCTCATTGTCTAATGTAGAATAATTACAATCATGCTTGACTCTTGTCACACTCTACTTTGCAGGCCATTCACATTTAAACGCAATGAGCAAATCATCGACTTTTTCAACAATTTTGAAGACTACCTCTCAGAGGATGCAATGTGGGAGATCTCTGAGAATATCAAGCCACGTGCAGGCCAAAAGAAGAAAGACTACAGCTGAAGCACTTATTATTTACACTTTGCATTTATCATGTGCATCCCTTCATGGTGCCTGCTTGCTTAGTTCACTTACTAGACCAGCCGTTTCAGAGCCGTGAGCGCTGTTATAAAGCTAAGCTTATGCAGTTTTATGTTTACTCATGTTCATTTCAATGTTGCTTTTGTTTTATGCTTTTATGATTATAGTTTTTAAGATTTTCCTATAATCTATGTAGTGTACAGCTGTGACAGCTGTGGACCATGTAGAGTGTTTTCTTTATTAAGTCATTATAAGGCAAGGCAATCACTGGTGCTTTTGCAACAACCACGAACAGTAGGGCAATGTAAACCTTCAGAGTGCAATTATTTTATTAGACTTTTTTGTTGTTGTATAGGTGTGTTAATATTGCCTATAATTTATTCTTGTCATTTAAATTTATTTTGGGACTCGCTTGCCCTTCCCGATGTGAAAAGTATGCACAAGCCTCAAAGTGTTTTTGACTTCTGACTTATATAGTGCTCTTGACTTATATAGTGCTCTATCTATTTATTGACCTATAACCAGGCAAGGCCCTTTCTTTTTTCATGAACTTTACCAAACCTGTGACTACCATTTATGCAATGTTGCCAAAAATGTTTGAGCCCTTCATCACTGTCCAAGCTGTTTCATGTGTGGGACGGTGCCCAGCAGACTGAAGCACAACTTATTGTCATCGAATTTAATGTATAAAACCTTAGTTTGAAGTGCCCAGAATAATCTCATCCAGGCTGTTGAGTTAACATAGTCTGTGGATAAAATGCAAAACTGTGAATGTCTTGGCCAAGGTATGTAGTTCTAGAGAGCACATGGAGCTTAGCAAGTAGCAGATGAAGATGTTGTTGCCCCCTTGTTTCAAATAGAGGACTTTTTCATGTCATTTTAAAAAATTCTAGCTAGTGCTGTCAGGTGGCTGCTGCCCATTGACACCAGGCACTGTGTAATCTTTTTTTTTTTTCTATGAATCAATTGTGCATATTCGCACTCCCTTCTAATTTTGTCAGGGATTACTAGACAATGAAGAAGTGAAGCTTTTTAACATGTTCCATCATTGCTCCTCTTTTGCTATTAGAAAGCCTTGTCAGAGCTCTGCCTCCTGAGGTTACCATAAGTATACCAAAGAAAGACAGTGCGCTGCTGTTATCATGGCCTCTTCTAATGGAAGTGAATGACTTTAAGGTTAACAGTAAGCCTTCATAAAGTTATCATAAGTATACCAAAGCAAAAAGGATACATAGTGCACTGCTGTTGGCATGGCCCCTTCTAATGGTTAAGGATTACTTTAAAGGGACCCTGAAATGGTTTTTGAAGTTTTGTCAGCGTTTAGGCTAGAACATCATTAAATCATTCACACCGCAAATTTAGTGACATGCTGTGTTTGAAGTTTGCTATGAACAATTATATTTATGTCTTTCTTCTCACCCCTGCCTTAACTCATGAGGCATGCTGGCATCCCTGGCAATCGTAGCACTCTCATGAGCACACTCAGCAGTTCGAGCTTCGCCCATTCATGGCCTCGGAGATTGCTTGCTGACAGGTTGCAAGTGCATCTCAAGAGACCATAGCTCAATGCGCTCGGCAGCACACATGCTGTCTGGCAACAGAAACGAAGATCAAGGAGTGGTTGATATCTGCTCTGACAGGTGCCACCACTCTACCAGCCAATCAGATAAGCAGCCTAGGTGACGTCGCACTACCAGAAGATGTCGTACTGTGAATGGGTGATTGAAAACGCATTTGGCTGAGCTGCAGTGATCTGCAGTGATTCACAGCTGTAAAGTGTTGTAAAAAACTACACAATTTAGGCAGAGAGCTTACATCAGTCTGTAAATTACCCTTAGGACTTGGTCTACTGGCCTAATGTGTTTGTAAACATCAAACTGTTTTAAGGTCCCATTAAGGTCAACAGTAAACATTGCAGTCCTGTTACACGAAAATTCTAATAACTTGATATTTCTTCATTTTAGAAAATAATTTGAACTGCACAGCTGGCCTATGTAAACATTTATTTTAATAGTAAACTCTCATGCACCTTGTCCTCTCCCCATATCAACCCTAGCGCAAGCAGTGCCAGTTAGAAACATGATAGGGCCCTGACGTTAAAGTGCAGCAAGCACTGCACAGGTAAATCTTATGAGCTCTGTGCATAGGAACTTTATGCTATGATCAGAGGGGCCCTCCTTAGTTTTGAACTCTGTTTTATTCAAACTCATTCAATTCCTCTGCAATTGAGGTTAGGTTATGTTAATACGCACACTTTTCAAAAGATTTGTTTGATTCATTTTGGCTAGTTCCTCAAGTTCTGGGGTTTGGCTTTAGGGCTCCTTTAAAGATTCCCCTACCATTTGTGAAAAAGTAGAAATGCCACATTTTTTCTATTATAACTCGTTCAAGTAGTCAACCAGTCTATTACTTTCTGGTAGAGCAGTGGTTAGCTACAAAAAGAAAAGAAAGATCTGCATTATCAAGAGTATAGCCCTAAAAAGCTTTTGTTATTGTGGATGCATTTGTCATGCTACTAAACATTGTGTCGGAATGCTATGAAAACAAAAAAGATGGCATTTTTCATTGTAAGGAAATTGAAATGTAATACACTATTGTGTTTGAAACCAAAATTTTTTTCATCAATTTTCAGATCAAGGGAAAGTCTCCAATAGTGCAATTGTCAGGCAGTAGCTGCATTTGTACGTTCCTCTGGCATTAATCAACTTCCTTAATTGGCTTTCTACCCTCTCTTGAGAGGGCACACTTGAGTCTGCTGGGTTACCTTGCTCATGCATCAGAACTCCTTGATGCAGTGCAAAAATGCAACCAAAACTGAGCAGGATATGGTGCTGTCATCTAGTTGTACTGACACACATTGTAATGAAATTGAGGAGTCATAGTGTGACCATGTGTTGCTGTAATAATTGTGCACTCAAGTGTAAGTGTGGAATGCCCTTTGCGTCCTTGTACACCAGTGCACATATGTCTTCTAACCATGTCCAGTTTACTTTCGTGTCCCTATATTAATGCATTAAGATTAGCATGTTACCTCTTTTCTAATGACACCTCTGACATCTCGTGTGAGCTGCACTGCATCTTGTGCAAGATTGCGTGTAATAAAACAATGAAGCCAATGAAAGCTAGAAAACAAAGTGGGGGTGGTGGCAGATAATGGCATATGTGGTGCTTTTAAGTGGTCACTCGAATAATTGGACTTTAGATCTCATGAGGTGGGCAGTTCACTGAACCTTTCATGTTTGCCGTAGTGCAGTGTCAGACTGCACTTTTTCAGTCATTAACATGCACTAGTAGCTATGGAATGTCAGGTATGCTTGATTACTTAATTTTTTAGCTGCACTTTAAGAAGTGCAGCATTTTTTTTTTCATTAATAACTGTCGCATATATAGACATGTTTTGATATCAGGTGTGCTAAAATAGAGAATCTGCAGAATTTCGGTGTTTAGATTGATAGATAATTCAGTGAATTTGTTGGTTATTTGCGTACCAAAAGTGATTTAACTATTTAGTGCCGTGGGGAGATGTGTTTTGAACTTATGTGAACAAATATTACTTAATTTCATGTGAGCTAGAACCAGGCTTGTTTTTTTCCCTCTCTCTTCTCATTATGAAGAGTGTTCTGCTCTGCATTAATGATTTTTGCCTGCAAACCATGCTATGTGTGCTGTGAGGGTGACAATGCTAGACCATGTCTGCAGTGCCATTTTCTTTTCCTCTTTGCTCCAAAGAAACCTACTCTGTATCTTATAGTCACTGATTTTAATTGGCACCCATGTGTGATTTTCTTTTTGAGATAAAGAAAAAGACCCTGTTTTCATAACTGCACTTGGTTATCAAAGATAAGATGCTCTGGTGATATTTTAGAGCTTTCAATTATTCCCCTCCTTTAGGAGCAATCTATGGTTGAACCTCGTTATATCAAACACAGCTATAGTGTCCAACTATTCCATATGTTAAAACCAATAATTACTTTAATATTGTTCTTATGAAATTTTATTAGGTGCATGAATCTTGATTGGGGCATGTTAAGGTCGCCCTGGATTCCCTAGTAAAACATGCCGTCCGAACATTTATGAGTGCTTCTGTGCAGCACATGGCTGTCATATGCAGCAGGCCTTGTGAGGTATGCATCTGATGCACTGCAGGCATTATGCTTGCAAGAGGAGTGCTTGCCTGGCAGTCTTGGTTCGAAGTAGATGCTTGCATCATAGGGGGAGAAGGGGGATTCATGTGCTTGAAGCAATGGAACACCATGAATTATAATCTTTTGGAATTCATTATGAGCAATGCTGTCACACCTCATGTCAAACCTCAGTAGTGGGCTGAGGTGTCACACTTCAGCCCACTACTCAGGTGTGACACCTCAGTAATGGGCTCTTAGTTCAAGTGATGTGGAGATACCACTAAAATAGTTTGTAACCTGGCACGTATAAAAGGCACCAGCTAAGCCACTAATGCATGATATACGAGATAATGTCAGATCACAAACTCCATTGTTCAAACGTCACATTACCTGATCCTTTGTGTGTTTTGGTGAAGAAATTATAGTGTGGAACCCTATGTACAAATCAGCTACTCAATGCTGTAACAGCTATGACAATGTAAACCTTGAGCTGAGAAAAATTGGGAGTACATAAGCTTAATTAACGTTCAAGTAGCTACCTTGTAAAACCAGTAGACAATAGAAGCCGGCAAAGGAAACAATAGAAGAAATAATAAACTTCAATTATTTAAGTTGCCAAAATTAAACTTAGGTTTATGTTTGGAATGTTAATAAATGAAAGGGAAATGAAATTTAAGGGCAACTTGACCCTTGTCAAAGCCAAACCCTTACTTAGGCACGTAGAAGACAGTATGCACTGTTGGCAGAATGGGAATTGTTTTTTTTATAGTCTTTGTGCGTAGGTACGTAAGACTAACAAGCTCAAGCTGAAGCTTCGCTCCCCACTTTGAGCCTTTGCATGACGAAACTGGTCATGCAAACACCACAAATGTGTGTCGCTTGCGTCACGCAGAAATTATTTGGCATGAGACAGTGGCAAGGTGTCCTTTCTTATCATCATCAGCCTGACCACGCCAACTGTAGGGCAAAGGCCTCTTCTATGATCTGCCAATCAACCCGGTCTTGTGCTTTTCGCCGCCACATTATACCTGCGAACTTTTTAATCTCATCGGCCAACGTAACGTTCTTTCCCCCCTTCGCGTGTTTGCCTTCTCTGGGAATTCAGTCAGTTACCCTTTATGACCAGCCGTTATCCTGCCGACATGCTACGGGACCTGCCCATGTCTTGATTTCAACTATGATATCCATAACCAGAGTTTGTTCCCTGACCCACTTTGCTCTTTTTTTGTCTGTTAAGGTTACACCTATCATTTTCCTTTCCATTGCTCACTGCGTCATCCCTAATTTGAGCTGAACCCTCTTTGTAGGCCTCCAGATTTACGCTCTGTAGGTAAGTACCGGCAAGATGCAGCTGTTATATACCTTCCTCTTGAGGGTTAGTGGCACATCATGATTTGAGAACGCTTGCCGAATGTAATCCACTCCATCCTTATTCTTCTAGGTATTTCACTCGCATGGTTTGGCTCCACGGTTAATGCCTGTCCCTAAGTAGACATATTCCTTTACAACTTCCAGCGTCTCTCCACCTATTTCAACGTGCTGTTTTCTGCCGAGACTGTTGCACATTACTTCAGTTTTGTGCATATTAATTAATGGCGGTCCAACAATTTGAAAAAGAAAGATGTATTACTTGGTGCTTCAAAATATGCTGGGTATGATCATGGAAATGTGTAGTGCAGGATGAGATGCTAAGTGTAAGGACGTTCAATCCCCAATACCACTCTGCTTTAGGTGGCTGTGGAAGCAGTCATGGCACAGCCTCTGGCCATAGCTCACTTGCTTGAAACAACTTCATTTTCATCATTTGAGTCTGTTAGCACGGGAAACAGTTCTAGGACAGCATTAGATATTACAAAGACAGTTGCTACAAACCTAGATATGACCAAGACAGTTGTTAACTTCCAACACTTTTATGTCCAAAAACATCCCATGAATAGGCGGAATGAGCTTGTACTAATGCATTTGAAGAACTTGTCATCACTTAGCACAAGCATGTACAGATTGTGAAGTGGTCTTTCATTGCCTTTTGGTAATCTGCACTTCCATCACTCTATACAGTGTACACCTTGTACATGATTGTGCTATGTGAAACATGTGATGCTTTATTTTCAAAAACATGTGATACTTCTGAAAATAAAATTATTGGAGGTTAGCACCTGTATGTCATATTTACTGCTGTCCTTGCGTTAGTTCGCACACTAAAGGCTGCAAAGGAATATCAGCATACTCAAACCTATGTCATTTAATTGTGATCAGTAGAGCTTATTTATTTATTTAAAGTACTTGGGCATAACATTGAGAAACCTATGTCATTTAATTGTTATTAGTAAAGCTTATTTACTTAAAGTGCTTTTGCCTTTAAGCGTGTCACAACTACTGAGCATCGGGTCACATCGCCTTTAGTCATCTTCTTGCACATAGTTTGGCAAGCAAGTGACAAAAGGGTATGACACAAATGCTTGTTGTGTCACCATGTTACATTACTCTCCTTGTTACACATTTTGTGCCTTCCATTTATTTGCTAATTGCAAACTCAATCAAATGTGTTTTTGTCATATATTAACATGCCGAAAAATTTGAGTTATGACAAGCTGTTGTACTCATTGTTATAACGAGGTTCAACATTATTTAAACTAGCATACCGATAGGCAGGCCTACACTCTCTTAATATGGTGCATTGTGGCTGAGATTGAGCTGATCTAAGATACAGTAATTTCTATGAGTGGACATAGCAATTGTGAAATGGTGGTTCATGCTGGATGATTTCTGCGTATACTTGAGCCCACTTATATATAGACTTCCTCCGCTCTTGAACATTATATAGGTTCATGTCTGCTGTCACCTATCACTTGAAATATGTTGCTAATTGGTTATGGCTGGTGCATATGCATGGAATTCTTTCTAGTCATTCAACCCTTTTTATCGCACACAAAAAGCTGCCTAGGCCGCTGGGTTAATGTAGCTTCCAATTGCGGCGGCTTCAGCAAGAACAGTTAGCTTGCCTGTGCACCTGTGCAATAGCAATATCATAGCCCCTTTATCTGAAAAACAAAGGACATATATGTCAAACTGCAAAAGTGCACAGCCTTAATGGCAGTGTGGCTTTTTTTTTTTTTTAATGATGCAGGTTGGTTTGGCTTATTTCTTTTCTAATAGAAAGCAGCATTTGAAACATGTAGACCATGGGAAGGGAGAGGAGGTGCACATCATGACAGAACTTGGGCAGCAATCACTTAGAATATTGTGATCTGAAAATCGGAACAGATTGTTTACTGCAGATAAGTGTTGTACAAGAGTGCTTTGGCATAAACCAGGTCATGTATGGCATAAACTGTCTTTTACAAGGCCACAACATAGGGTGGTCATAATGTATGTGATCAATAGCAATAGCATACACAGACCAGCGAGTTCATGAGCACTGATAACTGTGCAGATTAATTTGAGAATGTTGACCATATGGTGTATAGAATATGTTTGTAAGTACTTGTCAAACCTTTCCATCAAGTGGTTCGAGCTGACGCGAGACGCTTGTGTGCACTAAGTGTTGCTATCTTTACCTCAAAAGACCACTACCTTGAAATTCGTTGTGCCACGTGCTCTGCATCTGTATCATAGCATGCACACCGTAAACTGCGCTGCATATTTTATGTTTAAGCAGTGTTTTCCAAGTTGCTTGCACAGAATTATTACAATTTGTTTGGCCAAGTGCGTATGTCTGTCTCATAAGGTTAATTACTCAGTGGTGCTCACAACAAACTGCAAAGTTTCTCAGTGGTTATCATCCCCTAGCATAATCATCAACAGTGACTGTTCATGCAGCAGTGCTGTGAACTGTATATTTGTGGCAAAATACTTTTGAATGCTACTGTCATAGCTACAGTTGTCTAACTATGCAGCTGACAGTTTATCGACCTTTTAAAATATGATTGAGCAAGGTTTTGTTAAAGTTAAAGCAATACACTTAAAAATATAGCACCGCTCATTTAATCAATTGCTTTTCACAAAATGAGCAGTATGCATCATCTTCTGCTGGCATTACGCTTGAGGCCCGTGTACCTAGATGTAGGTGCACATTGAAGGGACTGAAAACCAATTTTTATTCTGCCATTTTTTTTTTTTTTTTTTTGCGGAACGGAAAGCTTACCAGTCTAATCTCAGAATGGCAGTCAAAAACTCCTCCAAGCATTTGTTATAGGAATTTTTCTATCTACTGTGAATATGAAGTCGTATACTCACATGCTGCAAACAGTGAGTGCAGGAGTGGTTTGTGTTCGAGCGTAGTGGTTTACTGCGCATGCATACACTTTATGTGCATGCTCTGCGGCTCGGTTTGGTTCACTAGGGGCCGCGACGGCAGCATTACTTCTTACTGTGCAACTCCTTTTGTGTTGTAAGCTGCGCAGAATTGAGCGAGGCTGGATAATAATATACATACTCTAATTTTGAGGGGTGGCGGGCATGACAAAACCGGGCAACGCAACTACGTGCAGGAAAGTGATAGCCTCCATCCTTCATAATTCAGCTGTTCTCTTCCGCTAGGCTGTGCAACATGACGGATTTTATTACCTTTAAGTACGATTTAAAATATAAATCCTATTCACAATGCAAAAAAAAAAATGTTGGGAGTCTGTGACTATATTTCATGGTCTTTTCATTTTTACTTAGGTCTGATCACATCTGGCCAGTTTTCAATTCCTTTAAGGAACCCGGGTAGGTCGAAATTTCCGGAGCCCTGCACTAAAGTCTCTTATAATTGTATCGTGGTTCAGGGATCTTAAACCCCAACAGTTATGATTATCTGGAGGCATTGTTTACAGTCTCTAGTAGCTACCTGCGAGCAGTTGCACTGTTTCGTAAGAGTGTGAAGCTCGTTGAAAAGTGAGTTAGCTCACCAAATTGATGCCATTGGTGAGTGTCAGTAGGGTTGCATTCTTTTCACTTTTTAAACATTGCTTACACCTGTGGCAGGCGTCTGAATTCAGTGGCGTTTCTTTTCAGAGTAGATATGTTGAATTTACACACATATTAGTGCATTATAAAACTGCAAAAAAGAATCTGAGAATGGTTATTGGATAGTTTACTCAGTTTTGCTACAAACGATTGCATTTTCTGTGTCACTATATGTACATGCCGTGATCAAAGTGTTATCTCCACTTGCTTGTAATCAAGCTACATTTGATGAGCTTATTCATTTTCGTATATTCAATGCTATTTATAAAAAAAGGATCATGTACTAGCAGCCTTTATGCAACCAATGATAGTGGCCTTAACACATAGACATGACATTATTGTCTCTCAAACTAGTGTGCAACATGCCACTTTGGTAAGCACACACCATGCTGCTGTGTCAGCCAGAGTTGCACTCTGGATTTTGCAAGCCAAAAATACTCTACATAAATTTTGGCTCCCCACAATGCCACATCTATGGAGGCCCACGATGCAACTGATTGTAGAAAATGCACCAGTTGTTTGCACAAAAACGTGCATACCTATAGTTCTTCAATTTACATTAAAGGGGCCCTGCAGCACTTTTCTGAGTAATGATGGAATGATCTATCAAAGTTCATTGCCTCTGTAATTGAAAGTTTTTTCGAATTTGTCTAGTAAAAGTGGGATTACAGGGATTTGTCTCTCGCTTTAAGCACTTTTTCATTATCTTTTTTAGTATTAAGCATGCTGAAAGCTAGGGAAGTGTTGACAAACGGGTAAGAAGCCACGTCAACAAGGTTTGTCATGACCTCGAGCACTTTTCTTTAAATGTGTGCAAATAGTGAAATTTCACCTCAAATCAGCTTTAAATCGAATAGTGCTGAATAGTGGCCAAAAGTATAAAATATCAAATTGACTATCGACTTCGGAAAGTTTTATTAATGGTTGAAAGAAACCAAGAATATATACATATATATGTATGTGTGTTCATGTCTTCAAGGAAGTAACGCTGTGAGTGAGTGTTATCGATAACGAAACACTACAAATTCTCATGCAGAAACGCGAGCCGTTCCAGATGACCTGGCTTCAGGCTCTCTCACCGTGATGTTCTGGTGTTTCCTGAAGTTGTAACCATGCGCTCACTAGGCACCTCAGTACATGAGGGAGCAGGAACATATTGCAAAGCAATTATGGCGATACCCGCTATAGTGCAGCTCCATTCTCTTTCTACTATTCAAAGGATTACCCTTTCTTGGGATCATTAGCTCGAAGCATTTTTAACCTTTTGGCTATAAGGTCTGAGCTCAGTGTACGGGTTATTTTTGACGTAGCAGTTTCACAATCTCCCGGACTGTTCCTCGACTTTCTTTGCTGGAGCCCTGACATACGAAAATGACATATCTTTTAAAATAAACGTGCACTCGCATTTGAACCAGAATATAAAGGGAATGTAAAGGGAAAAGGAATATAAAGAGAACATAAAGGGTGTAGGTACGTGGTGACACTCCATGGCAGCCGTGCTAACTATGCAGCACATGATTGCTCCAAATGGCCAATCACAGTGCGCCTCCGCCTATAATGTAGTCTGGGCAGTCTATCGCCAAATTCACAGAGAGAAGAGCGAGTGATTTCTTGCCATCTTTGAAATGTAAATGTAAATTCCTCGCTGCGCACAGTGTTATAATATTTGGCTCACATGTTCACCGGAGCCTTAACCACCCATTGGCAGCATTTACTTGCCATGTTTAAATAGTGTTGCAGGGCCCCTTTAACGTGAGCCTGTTACATCGTGTGTGCCTTTTTCCTTGCTCCGGTAGTTGAAAATAATCTGTCCTCTATTGTGGCATGTATTATAGACCTTCGGTGAACAGTACCACAGGTCGGATTCATGACATCTGTGATGACATAATTGACAGGAAAAATAAAGGAGTAGATACCATAAAAACAAACTTAAATGCCAGCACTAAATGAACAGTTATTATGTGTAATTACGTGGAGGGCAATGTGCAATCACTCCATAGCTAGATTCTCAGCATGCAGTAGTCCCGAGTGTATGCTTTGTAGTCTTCATTAAACCACTGGAACAGTGCATTGGAATAATATCTGAATTGTTTGCTGTTTAATTTACACTGGTATTGCATTGGAAGAACTGGTACAGGAAATTCCACTAAAGAACCTGTCCTATTTTGCATACACACTAGCCTGTTGGTGAACAAAATTGGAAAATTTATGAGAAAACTGGGTATTTTTAGTCCAGCGTGTTGCATAACCAGTCATGTGACTAGACTGAGCACTTGCACCGATTCGTCAGTTGTTAGTCCTCAAGCTTGTTCTGCTTGACAAATGTTGCCACTGCTTGCATGAAGACACATTCGTACTGTCTTCATTCATACTAAGCATCTTATTATTAGGGTCATGATAAGTGGGCTCAACTGTACCACAACATTTACAGCAACATTCACTTTAATTACAAAATCAGCATGTTTGAATAAGTACTTGCAATTGCCATATTTTTTATTGTTACCCTGCCTTTAAAGGTTAAGATAATCTGTCCTTATATAGCAGATACAATGCGTGCCTTGGTAATTATTGTTGCTCTTTCTCTTTCATACCTTTTACTTGATGAAATTGTGCAGAGCTCGCTGGAAGCTACAAAAAGCATCTATATGGTTCAGGCAAAATGGTGCAATTTTTCAACTCGAACTTCATGAATAACTAATAGGCCATTTAAGTTAATATGGAGAGATATTCACTGGAATATGCTTGTATTCTTTTTATTATTATTGCTATTATTTGAACCTCTGCCTATCATGTTGCACTCTTTTCAAGTCTATGAATATGCTGTATCAGCTCTGCTTCAGTTTCGTGTTCTCAAATTGTCTTCGCCCTTTTCTTCCCCCCTCTTTTGTAATTTGTGGTCTTGAACTTGGGTTTGTGAATGCTTATTGATTGATTACAGCATGTTGTAACTAACGACCGAGTTTGTATGCAGTGAATTAATGTGACAATTTTGTGTGCAAGATATTCATGAAACCATTCTTCAATAGCATTTTGGCATAAAAGCTAAGGCTGGTGCATGTTCATTTTCTTTAACTATCGTTCAATATGACTGGTGTTCAACCTGTTAAAAAAAGAACAATCAGGAGGAGCTTAACATAGTAAGCTGGTGCTCTTATGTTGCATGTTATGCTACAGCACTTGATCATGTAAAATCTTGTGCCTAGGCGAATGTTAGCATATGGCATTTCCAGCATTGCAGTCATTTTCACAAAGCCTCAAAGGTGCACAGCTTGCCGTGCGCATCGCTATTTCTGCTGAAGCATGCAAAGGGCACAGTCATATGCTTTTGCAGCTATCTACTGAAAAAATTACCTTTGGTGCTGTACAGTTATCACAAACTACATACATGACATATTTCTTATGAATACCATGCATGGTGCATTAATGTCATTTTTCCTTTCGTCTCGCTTGTGCTATGTACGTCCTGGCAAGCTTTGTACATATTACAAAGGCCAGTCTGAAAAGAATTTTTTTCTTTTAGCATATGTTATGCACAAAGCAATGTAAATATATTGCAAGAACTTAAAACTTACGGGGTAACTTCAGGTACTTTTCAGTGAAGCATATCCCAAAATCATAGCTTTATTCTTTCAGATGTTCTGGAAGTAGTAGTTGTGATAAAGAAAAACACTTATATGGCTCTAACGATGACAAGCAGCAAAACACATGTCAGAATAGTAATACTATATAATAATAAATAAATATATATACATATATATATATACTGCTTGTCAGTATGTGTATGTGATATAAAACTAACGTGCCCAAGAATGAAATGTCAGTGAAGTTTATTGTTGATGTCATCTAGCGCATGTCTTTTGCATGTTTATTTTGGTGAAGAAGAAGGAGTGGAGTGTTTGTGCTTTTGTGTTGCATGTGTGTCTGTGTTGCCCCATTGTTGCTGGCATTCGCACGTCTTTAGTAGGTGCTTATAGGAAAAGCTGAATAGCAAGTCCTCATGTAAGTGTTTACTGCCGTACTGATGTGGGCCTTCAGCCATTTTTAATATTGTTCAAGGCACAACAGTGAATGTACAATTTGTTTTCCAAATGCATTATTAAAGGTGTACCTTGAGTTTTCATCAGCATCTGCCACGTGTGTGTCATTGCCATGTGCGTGTTTGAAAGAGCAAGTTTCCAAGTAAATAAAGTTAATACTGTGTACAAGTCAACATACAACTTTAGTCTACATTAAACTACAACATTTTGGCAACTTAAAGGAAATTGACAGCCACATGTTTGTAGCACAAAGCCACTGGGAAGTCTAGCGTAGTTTTTCAGGAAGAAACCAATGCATTTTCGAGACGGTCGCTCTACCGATAGAGCTTATCTGGGAGTTCAAGGTCGAATTCAACAACTCTGAAGTGCATGGACACATACATGGTGGTGGAAAGATGGGTGGTTGTCCATTTCTTTTTCTCAATCCTTCCTTCAACATACGGGATTCCACACAGTTGATGTGCCGTTCTAAGAACGAATAAAAAATGTACATTTACTTGTAGTAATTCCTGACAAACGTGCGCATCATTTTTTACGGGTAAAAAGATAAGCCATGCTTAGTTAGGCATAAGCATGAGATCCTGCTTTCAGGGTATAGTGCTAGTTATCACATTAATAAAAACTGGTACATGCAGCTTGTCAGCAAGGCTGTTCACAGCACATATCTAGTCCACATGTTTGTAACATTTAAATAAGGAGCGAAAGACTAAGGCTTTATGAGAAAGCATTCTGCAGAAGACAAAGTTGTGATCATCCCAGCTAACTTGCGTACTTATGTGCAGCAAGTGAGTTCACAAGCAGAGTGCAAACTTAATGTTTCTAAGTACCCTCTTTTCGAACGAAGGCAGATGGGCCGGCTGTCAGCAGCCATACCACAACATCGGTGAAGTTCCCATATACAGCTGTCATTGGCCAATTACCAACTATAACTACGCAAGATGCTTGTATCAATTCATTCCTTCCTACAATTATTGTGTATATTAATTTATTCTGGTAAATAAACAGGCTGTATTTGGAAGTGCACATTTTTAATATTTATAGGAATAGCATACTTTCGAGAGAAATCTGCCCCAATGAAATGCGAGGCAGTAGAAGTGGTGCCTCGCCTTACTTTCTTTTAATAAGAGAAATTTAGAGCGTAGATAAAAAAAGCAAGCGTTGCTCTTATAATAGTTATTTGAAGAGTAGTCTCTGTATTACATTTCTGGGTGGCACTTTGTTACTTTGTTTCAAAATATTTTTCAAGTTTGAGAAATTGTGGTTCAGGACTCCTTCAAGAATCGAGTGGCACACATCAAGAGCCTGCTGTAGCATTGAGGTTAACTTATTACAGAATTCGTATTTTTGTTAGAGTGTTTCCAAAATTCTGTCCTCAATTTATCATTCATTATTCTAAAAACCACTGACATTGCATATTTCTGGATTTCCTGCACCTGAGTGACACATCTCTCACTCAAACCATAGTGAAAAAAATATATATATATGCCGGGCCTGTGCGAAGACGCAGCACAGTTGCAGCGAAAGCTAGACAAGTGTCCTTTCAGAGCCTTTTCTAAACACTCATTGGGTAACTGCTGCAAGCACACTTGCTGGGTACCCACTACGGCATTAATAATAATAAAAATTTCTGGGTTGTAGCCTGGCATTCACTATGCCATCCTTCGTCATTATTCTGAGAGGCATAGTATCCACTAAACACTCGCGAGGAATTTTGTGCCAATTGTTTATGCAGTGGCTGACGATGATGAGGAATTATGCCTGAAGTGGGTATGTGCCACAGCTAATGTGTGATCAAGAACAAGCTTTTGTAGTGGGTTGGAGTATTGGACGACCCACTTGTTATGCTATTCCCATTGTGTGACAACTATTTGGTTTTGTGTTGTTCTAAAATGCTTTATTACTCATAATAATATTACTCATTCTTTCTGTGCTACACTTTTACTCTCTTCTTTCCTCCCACTCGATTCACTTTCCCATCATCTTGCTAAACTTTATTATACAAGGCTATGCTGTACAGCCAAGTGGTTAGGACGCTCGCCTTTGAATGAAGGGTACGCGTGTTCGGAGCCCACCTTGTAAAGAACATTTTCTTGCAAGGCTTTTCTCTTTTTTTTACATCTTCCTTTCTGTCACTCCATTTCTTGTTGTTTGTTTGTTTCTTTCTTTTTATATGCCTTATTTCACCGATCAGGGTTATTACAGGCCATGCTGTAGCGGTGAGTAGCGAGACTCGCTCATATTCTGGGGTGCATACCTGTTCACAATGATGATAGTTTTCAGGCATGGTCGTAGACGAAGGCAAAGACCAGCTATACAGTGCACTGAACAGTAGCATAGTGGAATTGGTTTTCTGTTTGCATGTGTGAGACATTTTCAGATTTTTCTCACTTACCACTGGGTGCTTATTCAAGCTTTGCCTTTGCCAAATTTTGCTTTTGCAAAAGCTCACAAAATCAACATTAACCAGACAGGTGCAGCAAGAATGCGGAAAGCAACTTTAATCACATGAAATATTTACAATAAGCACAGGCATACAATTCCACATACATCTGCACCTATTTAAATACAGGCCTACGTGCTTGTATTTGTTACTGTGGGCATCTCCATTAATTGTAATAAATACAAGCACGCTTAACAAAGTTTGTGTCAATCAAGAAAGCATGCTTCTTTTCACTTACTGATCGCCAGACATCACACTAAATTAGTAAATATAAGCATATTTTGAAGTTCCTGTTGCTAACTGAAGCATGCTTCTTTTTCGTTACTGACCCCGAGACATCAGCATCGACAGTGAACACAAGAGAACTGGTCATTGGACGGCATAGAAATCTCCAGAATGATGGGGTCAACGGCATTTGTTACCTGGTAGTTCTGGGCCCACAAAATCTTTGAATAGGCTCGTATCATTAATGTCGAGAAGCAGTAGCTTGTATGTGTGCTTGTAGACGCTTCAAAACAGACGGGGAAACCTTAAAGTTTCTTTAACTTTGGACCTTAATAGTGACCACAAACATCCACAAATGTAGTGGCATTTCCCCCCAAGCATTAGATTATGCTTTATATTAACTAACACAGTGACAGACTGTAATGATCCATATGTCCACTACAATCTGTTCCTGTGTGACTGCAGGTTAAAAAAAATATTGCACCCTTGAAACTTTACACCCCAATGTTTATGCTTCAAGGAACACTAAAGGCAACTATTAAGTCGACGATTGTTGAAATAGCGGCCCAGAAACTTCGTAGTGCTACTTTTATGCCAAGGAAGGGCCTATTTTGAAATAAAATTACGTTTTAGTAGTCCGCATCGGTTTAGCGCACTTAAAATTACCCACCCCAAGAAGCGAACCGACCGGACCGATTCATGTGACTGTTGCCGTGCACAACGTTGCCCGGCTTCTAGTAGCAGAAGACCGAAAGCAGCGGTAGCCACAGCAGCAACAACGGCCATTGATCAATTTCCTGCCATTCGCTTCGAGATTGTGGATGTGTTTTGTTTCAACTGCGCCCCACTAGATGGCACCACCTGTCCCGTATAACCATGCGAAAATTGAATTTTCGAACCACTCACGCCATTCCCCATAGTAACGTTTGGCGCTTCTTTTTGCCATGAATCAAGCAGAAACGAACAAGCAGCATTTTATTGCGTCTCTTAATGCATGGAAGGTTCTTTATTTAGTGCAGTTAGATCGATTACTAGTGATAAATTGTAGGTGGTCCGTCTGATTTCATCAGGATCATTTTGAAAATGTCCTACTGCGGCACTTGTGCTGTTGTGCACTTACTTTATTTCTCAGTAAGTAGGGCACTGTTGTTGATAATGTTGTCGTTTTAGATGTTGTCATACATTGAGCTTTCACTCTAATGTAAATTGTTATTTGACTTTAGTGTCCCTTTAACTTGCAAAATGCTATTACATCCATCTTGAATCAGAAGAATATGCGTACTTTCAGTAGCAAATGTTTAAGCATGGTATTACACTCATCCAGACATGCTTTTTGTTCACATTTGTTACACTTCATGCCAAACAGTCTTCACTCTTGCTGTTTTAAGTACTACTAGTACAATGGATGAGTGCGTCCTAGATTTAATGCAAATTATGTTTGGGAGAATAAAAATTTTTGGCAGTATGTCTATATATATATATATATATATATTTAATTCTAATCAATAAACATTTTGCTTAAGACCTAGTATAGTCTAGACTGGCATAAGGAAAAACAGCAATAAAAAACCGAATTTGATTTTGCAGAAATGAATGGCACTGGTATGATACAGAATTGTCAAATGAAACTAATGTGTCCACTTTCACATTCAACACTGCAAAGTTATGCTTGGACTGCAAGCAATAACCAAACTGGAGAGGTTTAACTATATTCATTCTGATATAACAGAGTACAAGAACAGACTGTTAGAGATGCAACAACTTATGAAAATGGTCCAGAATATACTGGTGCAACACCTGAAATGGTACTTTATCATGAATCTACTTGTGGCTACCAACTCTGATGACACAAGGTTGCATTGAAATGCTGTACAATAGATACAGGACAATGTTCAGTAACACACTTGTTCCACACTGCACACAAGTCAATGTCTGATATACTTTCTGCTTGTCTGAGTGGTCCACTCAACATTGTGTACACGGTTAATTTTACACGTCAGAAATTGTAGCTTAATGCAATGCTGAAGTTGGTGGCGGAGAAGTACACCACATTTGATTCAGTCAAGTAGATATTCAAAAGTAGATATTGCTGGAGCCTCTAGTGACCATTATGATAAAAGGCTGAATTAACAAAGGTAGCTGGTTAAAATATAAAGGGAAGTATTTTCCACAGGTTGGGTTATTCAAAACTTTAAATTAAGCAGATGTGTTTCTCAAACCTTGCATGTTGTTTTCTGACAGCATTTGTATTACTCATAGATCTTAACCCTTCAAGTGCCAGCTTAAAAAAAAAAAAAAACATTTTTATTGTGTAGCCCTTCAGAATTTTTTGTAGACAAGAATAATAACAGCATGCGACTATTACATTGCCTCTCACGTGAAAAGAAACTCACTACTCTGCACAATCACAGAGAAGTGCATTGTCCGTTTCCAGGAGTTTTACTGCAGATTTCCACACTTAGCAGCCAATTGTATGAGCACATAGCAGCATCATGCTTATGCCATTCCTTCAGCCATATTAACATGTGTCAAGGACGTGATGAATACTTCCTTGCTACAAAAAAAGCCTATTGCTGCTGGTGGCTGCAGACAGAAAGCCTTCAAATGCACTTGCGCTATAATAAAACTTCACAATGTTCATAGTGACTCTGGTTTCCTTGATATGCTGTGTTAAACGTAATAAGGAGGAGAGTGTGAGCCATTAGAAGATACTGAAACAGTCAATGTGAAAGCTCAGTGAAGTGAAAAACAAAATGTCAACTACATACATACAGATCTGGCACCATTTTCACATGTTTGTCCCTTCAAAGTATTGCTGGTTTGCTAAGACAGTGCCATTAGCTCTGCAAGAATGTTTTGTGTGTCAACCAGCAGAACAACTTCACATAACTTTTCATTCTTTGGGCACTGATCTTTTGCTACTTATGGCACTGTAAACCACAAACACTAAATATAACTGACAAATAACTGTAAATGCAAAATGAGAACAGTTGTTGCTGCATTATTAAAGCTTCTCTTGGCACTTAAAGGGTTAAAGAAAATTCCTTTCGGACAACCTAAATGTCTTTACACCATGGTAAACATTGTAGGTTACAAAAGTGGCACTTCAAGCACACACAGCACAGACATGTGACAAATGCTTTTTGAATGTTAGAATCTTGAATCAACAATGGGTAGCACAGTGAAAAGTCCCAACACCGCGACGTACCTGTAATGTGAGGCTGTTAGCTCCGACATCAAACCTGTTCCTTTTCCCTGTTTTTATTACCCAACACATCAATAATAAGAAATTCATGCTTACTTACAATACATCATTTATGCTGTCAACCTTCTCCAAAAGTGGTTTACGTAAAATAAACTACTCACTTTCCCAAATTTTTACAAAATACTAAGGCCGGTTTGAAAGAGTAGATCAAGCATACTGTTAGTCTAGTTTTTTGCAGGAGGAATACTACTGAGCCATGCTTTTAAGCATATCAATCAGTAAAGGAAGCTTCCCTTAAAACGTGGAGGTTATACAAAGGTGGTTGAAGGATAAAACAACCAAAGTGACGCACGCACACAGAGGTGATGGATGAAAAGGCTTGGCTTTATTCCTGGCCACAACCAGTCTTAAATATATGGAGATCATTGTTGGATCAATGGTTCTGAAGAGACGTCAGGTTAACGAGAGGGCCGAACCATGTATGCACATGTTGATGGAACAAGTGCAGGCAATGTCCCAAAGTCTATCATACCTGCACTCTGCACGCACACTGGCACATTTGACATGAAGTGGACATGTAGCTGCTGCCCATCCACCCTTTTATTATAATTTCTTCCTTACACAAGCATGACACTTAAAAATGGAGTGATCTGCTCGCCTCTGTTCACAGACGTCCTCATTGCACCTTTCGCATCCGCCCCAGACCACCCAGAAAAAGACTTAGTCGTGTTGTCATCCCTTCATTCCGATGACTTGTGTAGGAATGCCTGCGCAGGCGGGTGTCCCAATGTCACTGAGACTTCATAGACACAAGCTTCCGTTGCCTTGTCCTGAAGAAAAGCCAGCACCATATTCGGCATCAAGTGGCACATCAACAAAGCATCACAATCATTTTTGGCTGGAAGAAGTGGCAAACATTCTAAATTAAACTCCCCCTTTCAGATTATACAGAAAACCACAGCATTCTACAACGATTACAGCAGAATTGCTCATAATGAATTCCAAAAGATTATAATTCATGGTGTTCCATTGCTTCAAGCACATAAATCGCCCTTCTTTCCCATATGATGCAAGCACCCACTTTGAACCAAGACTGCCAGGCAAGCACTCCTCTTGCAAGCATAAAATTTAATGGTTGCTATAGATAATACTTATCTGTTAGTGCCTCAACTACTATTAAATCCTGTTCAAGCCCCCCTTCCCCAACAGTAAAGGAAAATCCAACAAGAATTGACGGGGGGCCCTTGCTCAGTCACGGATCAAAATTCATGATGGCAGAGGTACAGGTGTGCTAAGAATAATGGATGCACGCCCATATTTTTATTAGGTGCTTCATTGAATATACATGCATTCACTGCTTTTATTTGCCATTGTCAGGTAAATAAAAGCAGTGAATGAAATGGTGCAAGAAGAGGGGGGGGTATATTTCAAATGACCCCAAAAATGCAGGGAAGTGCTTGCTCAGGATTTTACGGTATAGTGCACACATGACAGACACACACTCTACCTTCATCCTGAATGCAAGCACACCTACTGCATACAAAGCAGGGACCACACACACAAAAAAAAAAAAAACTTTTGTGCTATTTCAGCCTAAAATCTTGTCTAGGATTGTTCAAGAGTTATGTACCAATATTTAAGGACTTCCCATATGATAGCACAACAGCAAGCCCACTATTGAAAGTGTCAACATGCACTGGTCTCTGCAAAAGTGAAGAGAAAGTTTTAAAATATCTTCAGTTTATGTACTACATTAGCCTATTTTTAAAGCTGTGTATGTTTATGCACAAAACTGATTATTGGTCGAGATTTCACTGTATGACTTTGCCTGAGATTTATTTACAGTACTGAAAGCATAAACTGTGTAAATTTAGCATGCATGCTATTTATACTATGAGAACTGCTCATATGGCATTTGTGCGTTCAGCACAACCAATGCTTCAGCTGCATGGTAAAGTGCCTGCTGTTGTGCTTCTTGGAGATAATTGTTAGGATCCCGGTCTATGTGTGATTAATAAAATACAGGGTCAGCAATAGGACTTTTTTTTGCCTTAAATGTCATTTGTAGTGCATTAAATTTGTGGTAATAAGAGGATTTGTATTTAACATTGATAAGTTCTCAAGCACAAACTGCTGCTGCAGTAAAGAAGCAGAAGCAAAATACCAGGAAACTGGGATAACATGCTTTCCAAGTATAATCCCACAGTCCTCTGCAGTGCGTGGAATTGTTTATAACAGTGTATGTAGTTGTTGACCCTTCATGAACTTCTATGTAAGTATATTACAACAAGTACTACAATTTTTCTAAAACAAACTATAACAGAATGGCTTATACAGGTACATGCATGTACTGTAATTAGTGAAAGCAATCAAAATACTGTCATTCAACAAGTTGCATATTTGCATTAAGCATTACTCTTCTCTAGCTTGATGAACAATGGTTAAAAGCTACATTACTGAACGCCAAAATATGATAAATACACTCCGTAATCTGACACATCACACACGGCAATTTCGGCACTAAATTTAAAAATGAAACTTTGAACTTGATTTTCTCCTCTATCACTGAACCTATGATGGTGAAAATAACTACTTTAGAGTTCTCAGAGTAAAATATGACGAACTTTATTTAAAGATTTGGAGAAGTGCCACCTCTTAGGGCGACACAGCGGGCCGCTCCCACGTGGGGACAGTTAAACCTAGCCTAACCACCGCATCACAGGCTCTCTGGACAGCCCAATGTTCATGCTGATAATCCGAGCTCTTGAGAGCCGAGCTCCATTTTTGCTCTGCGGGGTCCTTATCCGCACGTAACGAGGGGCACCATCAAAGCATGTGCTCTAAATCGCTTAAGAGTAAAATTTATAAATCTAAACTGATTCATTGTTTCTCTTTGGTATCCCTTTAATAGGGCCCTGCTACACTTTTCCAGCAGGGTCAAAAAAACAAAAACACTGCTGATCAGTAGTCAAGGTTCCTGAGAACATGCGAGCCAAACATTTTAGCACAGCACACAGCCTGAAATTCACAATTAATTCTCAAAATCTGCTAAAAATCGCTCTCAACAAATGATGCCATAAACCCAAAGTGTACGACCATTTGGTTGATTCTAAGATTTTGAGCTGCATAGTTACCATAGCTGCTGCTAGATTCCAGCATGTGCCCATTTGCGCGATCAAAATCACACTGAAAGTAAGCCGTGAACTCAAGAGAGGGAAGAAAGACCCCCCACCCCCCTCCCAAGTCATTGCTTTCAGTGTGCTTGCTCGTACAAAAGGAGAAAGAAAGCACTTGGCAGTGTACAACAAATCCCAAAACTTCACTCGTACTTGATCCAGTGTAAAAATTTTTCACAATCTACTTATGAGGTAATAAGCTCTTTTAATGAAGCCATTAAATATGGCAGTGTCCCTTTGTGTTGCAGGGTCCCTTTTAAGAATGTAACCTCACAGCATGGCACAATAGTGGTAGAGAACTTTATTTACACAGTATAAGCCAGTCTGAATTGTTGGGCAGGGTTGTGCCTAGCAAGTACTTCAACTGCAACGCCCTCACCAGCATGCTCCAAGGGCCAGTTGAAAATAACTTGCTAACTTAAATACATTTTACAAGCACGCCCAGTTCTCTTTTTTTCTCTGGAAGACTGCAAGAATCACCTCTTATGCAGTTTCACCTCTTAGCGCAGTTTGGCACAGCTATTACATCACTGGACTCTATGAGCCACGTAACCATGCCATGATAAAATCTGAATAGAATCGCAGTATATATAAAGTTTGCTCATGGAGAAAAACAAGTGAAACAGCACAAAAGCGCTATTCCAAAAAAGCCATAAAGTCGGCAACCAGTGGCCACAGCTTATGAGGAAATAACCTGCTCGCCATTCCCACACAAGATAGTCCCAGAGGTTCACATGAGGTGAGGTAAATCAGCCATCAATTGAACAGTTTCACGTTGTTCAGAGTGCATGTTCAGAGTGCAGCACAAAAGACTTTTTGTACGTCAGTGATGCATCCCCTGCATTCTATGTTCGTCCATGCCACCAGTACCAACATGCTTCACAACAATAACATGTGTAAAAATGCTTTGTGTGAGACAAGCTTTACATGTAGAGAACTGCAATATGGTAGAGTAACACTATCTTTCAAGCACATGCAGCTGTTGATAAGTGTGCATTTGATTAGGCTGACTGAGAATAAAATTACTCACACAGAAACATGCTGCAAAAGAACGTGATACAGCTTTGCAAAGAATAGTACATGAATTTTCAATTTGGCCAGTTGGTCATTTTCCCCAACATTATCTATAGTAACAACAGAGAATTCCCTGACAATTACCAGACTTTTCCAGATGCCCAGAATTTACCCTTTTTTTCCAAGCTGCTTGGAAAACTTGGACCTGGAAGAGGAGCTTTTTTTTCTCCGATCTGCTGTTTTTTTAACTCCCCCCCCCTTTCCATACACTCACACCAACCACCCCCCCCCTACCCCCTTCCCCCCCCCCCCCCACCCACACACACCAGTCTTCTCAGTTTAGCAGCACATAGCAACAATAGACTTAGAGCAGCACTCAAAGGACGTACCTCGACTCAGTTCTGTAGGAGGTGTACTCGAACCACATCACATTAGGAATCAGAGTGGTGTCTCTCAGCATCAGCAATTCACTGAGGTGCCTATGATTCCAAGAGTATGAATCTGATTATTAGAGCACTTCAATAGTTTATCAAACATATATGTAGCAAATAAAACTACCAATGACATACTCAAGCCATTGCATGAGAGGCATTACAGTAAGTGCAAGTCCCAATGTTTCTTGAAATACAAGGTAGGAATAAAAGAACAGCATCAACATCCTAGCAGCATAATAACAGGAAGACATAACTTGTGCTTTGCCTAGTCACATGTCTAAACACTTCTACTTCACACACCAGCAGTCTTATTACCTTGGTATTGGTCTCTCTCCTTTTGTCAAATTGATAGAAACAGTGATAGGCATGCTACTGCTAAAATGTAGAAAGCTACATTGAACAGTTATTGCAATGAGGTGCTTCGCTTCATACATACAATGTTTCTTGTACACGTTCACTGTATTTGTACTAACTCAAGGGCAGATCCAGGAAGGAAGTATGATTCGAATGTCGTGAGCGCCCCTCCACCCTCCACTCATGACAAGTCACACCATCATACGTGCCAACTGGCTGGCAAGAGACCAAGAAACCACCGCCAACTTATCGGTCTACCTCTAAAATAGAGCCAGCGTGTCGCAGCCACAACCAATTTTGTTCGCTCAAACCACGGTTAAGAGCAGCACTTCGAACAAAATGGAATGTATGATACTTTCTTTATTGCAAATACTCCAATGGGTGTTTTTGAAGACACCCGTGAACTTTGCATTTCCCATTTTTTTACTATAAGTAATATTCAGCACTTGAGGTGAATAATCCTAACTAAAAACTTAATTATAAAAGAAATTGTCTGTAGTGCACACGCTGGGACAATAAGTGTGTGGTGTGTGTGTGTTTATAGGGTGTTTTTTTTAAGTTCAGATGACAGGCGTTTTTGAAACTGAACTCCACATCAAGACGGAAATACTTTGACATAAGTAACAAGACACTATTGCAACTAATTACCAAAAATACATTAACATTTTTAAGTTATTGACGTAAGGGTGGCTGTTTGATTCCAAAGTTATAGTCCACACCAATTTATGACATACCCATTTTTTTTAGAAATCGTGAATGTTGCACATACTTTGAGATAGTCATCATCAAACTTGACGGCGAAATCAAAACTGACTGTGGAAGGTGCGCACGAAGTGTGGGGGAAGACAGGGCATAACATGTGGCAGGGAAGTGATGAAATTTTAATGAAGGCACGCCAAAGCAGAGCCTGGTCAGAAAAATCAGCAAGCATTCTGAAATATGCCAGTCGACAGCTTAAGCTAGGCGTACCATGGGTGGTGCTTATCCATTTCTTTCTTAAACTATAAAGAGGAACGAAAAACTATTTCTACTGCCTGCAAGAAGTGTTACAGTGGTTGCCCCAAAGTTTTATATGTTTCCCAAACAAAGAAAAAGTTGCTGTTTTGGTTTTCCTATGCACAGTTCGACAAAAACAGATAAGCACGAAAGACTATGCGCAAAAGTAAGGCGATGCGGTGACACAGTGAGATGACTTGCAGCTTTTCATGAAAACACACGAGCCGCAGCACACAGTCATTAGAATTTTTTTTTAAACTTTCATGTGATGGGCAACTCCAGTCTGACGTAGCACAACGGTTACCACGCTCGATGCACGCCTCGAGCGATTAGTTTTGATTTCGCCAGTCTAGTTCAATAATGAATATCTCCTACATGCAACAATTGCGATTTCTAAAAAATAGGTATGTCATAAACTGGTGTGCACTATAACTTTGTAATATAAACACCCACCCTCAAATCGATCATTTAAAAAGCTAATTAACAAATGTTTGTTAATTAGTCACAACAGTGTCGTGTTAACTGTGGCAAAAGTATTTCCGAATCAACATAGTTTGTGCGCAAAGACGGCAAGAGCTTTACGTTATAGAATTTTTATTAAAAATATGTACTGTTTAAAAAGAAATATATATATATATATATATATATATATATATATATATATATATAGCAAAAACATCTTTTTAAAACAAGAGGTTACACCTTATGCAAAACAAGTGCACTCATTTAGCGAATTGGCCAAAGTAGGATACCATAGCAAAATATGTGCAAGGTGCTCACCAGGAAACAATTCGGGGGTAAAGCGGTGTGAGTATGAACTGGGTTAAGCAGAACCAGAGGCAGGCAAGCAGAGAGCCTATCAAAGCTCCCCAGCACACCTGTGCCCATGTGTGGTATTCCAGGTACACTCTGCAGACACAAAAAAAAAAAATGCGCGTGAAACCACTGTGACATGAAGCAGAGGTCGATCTAACAAGCCCTACTGATGAGCAGAGAAAGTAAAATGCAGGTTGCTTATAAGAATGCAGTTGATTGTAAGAATCTTCGCTACTGTAGCTGCACCCTTAATTAAAACTTTAACACACCTAAATGGATTAAAAGTTGCCAATAGAATAGAATCGTTCAGATATGGACAGTATACACTTAAAAGTTAACCTCTTCACATGCAACAGTCTTCCACTTCAACTTGTATTCCATACCGTTACAGATGCAAAAGCTGCACAATCTAGCTACGCCACCGTTGTCTAGTTTCAAGATAATGAGTTTGTTTCTGCACCTTTTCGAGTGACCACTCAGTCTTGGAGTGTGCTTCTTCTTACCACTGTAACTGAAGTCTCATCAGGCAGATTATATGCAGCATGCCACAGCTTAATGATGATGATGACAATAATAATAATAATAATAATAATAATAATAATAATAATAATAATAATAATAATAATAATATTTAATAATATTAATATCTGGAGTTTTGCACACCAAAGCCAGGATATGGTTTTGAGGAATACCGTAGTGGAGGAGTATGGAAACTTCAACCACATGGGACTCTTTAACGTAGACCTGATTCTAAGGCCCTCCAGTGTTTTACCTTCATAAATGCTATTGCCATGGCCAGGATCGAACTTGTGACTTTAAGGTCAGCAGCCGCTGTACCACCGCGAAGGTTATGCCACAGCTCATACAGAATGCACACACAGTATTGCACTTATTCAACACAATTGTTACAGAGATGAGTGCACAGTACTCAAGGATTCAAACGTGACATAAAACTTTTAGTATCAGCTGGTATCAGCAACTGCTTGAGATAACCACATCATGTCACCACAATTATGATCTCTAAAGATAATGTTTGCTCTTATCTACGCATTCGAGTTAAAATTGTGCCAATATGACCTGAACTGAAGATGGCATAAACGAAAGTATCTGCGATACTTAGTCCTAAATTTTCCTGTTTCAATCTATCAGTACTGTACATTTTCAAGGCAGACATATAAAGTACAGTGTGGGAAACATGCCTGATCAGCCTTGTGCCATATGAATACATAGCCACAGCTAATTTGAGAGGATGCCTCTAAAAAACTCTAAAGGAATCAAATGAAATCAATACCCGCTGCACCACTTGAAGTGTCACCACCACATTATTCTTAACCTTTGCTGCAGTCTTCCCAACCTTGTCATCCGACAGATTTTCCATTGAGTATCGAAGCTTTAAACAAAAAATTTTGAAGATGCTTGAGCTTCCACTTCAAGAATAGAATGCAATAGCATAATCGAACCCTGTTCACATCGCATCCTGAATCACTAGCCTGACTACCGTTCACCCTGTGGACACCTAGACCACGCAGCAAGAAAACGAACATCTGTGCACCCGTAGCCCTTTCAAACTACCCTAGAATGCACACTGCAAGTACAGTTGCAAAGTGCCCACTATGTTTTAATTCTTTTTTTCACGAGTTTTTAAGGTACCCACTACGCATCTATAAGAAAACATGCCCACCGGTGCGTCTGCACACATTGATGCTGCTGCTGATAAAGATAATGAATTTTACCTCCGTCCTTTGAAATTCGCATACCTTTAAACCAACCACTCATTTCACAATTCATGTCTTGATGTACAGTGTGATTCTATGCTTCTGCTGCAATATGACATGTGTAATGACACTCCTCGCACTACAAAATGTTCGTATAGGATTTTTCTCTAAAGAATCTCGAGCATGGGGTCGGCTCTATGGTAGAACACCGGCTTGCCACGCAAGAATCCTGCGTTCGATTCCCGCACGAACCGAACACTCTTCAATTTATTTGCATCTAAGTTGAATTTTCGCTCACAACTAACTAAGCCAACACCAGAATTTCTGTGAAACAAGCTCTTTTAACAATATTTGTGTTAATATACATTTGGCCAGTATCACATAGTAGACCATATTCATTTGCAACCAAAAGCAGTAAAGTTCTATTTATATGTTTCTTAAAAGGGTCCTGACACAAAAATTTGTGACAGAGATAGCCTGCAGGATCAATTCCCGTGAGCATGCGTATTTCATCTGCAAAATATCACCAGTGAATAGAGCTTGCAAGGTATTTTAAATTAATTCTGAAGTTTGTGTGAGCAATCGACTCTATCACGCTATTAACACCCTCAAAAGATACCCTTGGGGACCCCCTACTTCCCTCACATGACCACGCTGCAGCAAGTTGTGCCGACGTCATAGCCACCATATTTTTTTGTTGTTGTGTTTGCTCCAGCAGACTATTACTCGGCAGTTGCTAGCGAGTCCGTGGTCATGATGCCCAAGTTGAAAGCTTTGCATTTAATGACATTGCTGCCCCATTTCCTCTTCGAAAAAACTTTTTGGTGCGAACCGTGCGGAAGTGTGTCACAGTTCTGTGTGCTGACATGATGGAGCATTGGACCCGCTAGGTGGTGACAGTTGCACCCAGTGGCTTGTGGTTTTTGAAACTAAAACTGACACTGGTCGGTAATAACGAGCCTGTAATTAATTATCAGTCACATGCCGAAAAAACAATCTGTCATGTTATCCCAAACAGGCCCCCAAAAACACATTGCAGCAAAAAAAAAAAATGCAAGGCCAAAATGTTTGTGTCAGTACCCCTTTAAGAAACCACGTGAAAATCATAAGAGATTGGAAGAAGTTTACTATCCAATAAAACCTTTTTTTCTTCGTAATGTCTTCGTTTTTCATTGTGAAATTACAATTCACCATCTCCTTAAACAGACGAGCCTTTCTCTTTCCCATTGACATAGTATCACAATGCACAAAGCAAGATTTTGCACAGCAATGTGACACGTTTAAATGCAAGCACACAGCCACAGTCCTACAATACAGCTATGCACTGCTCAGATGAGTGCACAAACAGCCTGGGCACCTTATCTTGGAGGTTATCTGTGGGAAGTGCAAAGACTGTGCAAGCTGGCTGGTTGCTTGATGCGTACGGGTTTTCCTGCCATGTGCCCAGTTTTGGAAGTTGCACAACAGGAAGTTTCACAGCCACATTAAATATGGAAGGCCAGGATGGTTCCTGTTGCCTCTCTTGGAACAGTATACGCAGTCTACAAACACTTGCAACTTATTTAAGCCACAAGTAGATCTACTTTTCCACGACTCAGCCTATGCTTTGATGATGTGAATATATCACGAGATGTTTGGCAAAAAGAGGAAAAACAGCGCAAAGATGATGAAAAACAAGATGAATAGGCAACCATGCTACAGCTGTCCCTTCTATTGTTCCATTAAATTTAGTGCCATGTATGTATTCTACTGTCATGAATCACTGAAATTCAGACATGATTCTTAATAAAATTTTTCTGAACGTAAGCAGACCTTAGGTACTGGTGCCAGTGCTCTGACATGAATAATAAGAATATATGAGAATTCACATACTTACTGCTGCAATTGCTAGAAAAGGTTTGGTCAAAGGAGATACATTACATATGCTCACTCGTAAAAAAGGCAAACAGACATGTTTCCTGCAAATAGTACACATTCATTTTCATCTTAAACAGCTTTACGATATTTCCAACTACTTCATTAAAATGTTCTGCATAACTACCACAAAATTACACAAGGCAGTAGCACTCTGCTTGCATTTTGTTAGAGATACGTCGCCTGGAAAACAATTAGCCGCACCTGCTGTATGAAACAGTTCCTGCCAGCAGGAACCAGCAGATTATCACAGTACACTTCCAAAGGTTCTCCCAAGGGCAACTGCTATTGCCATGGTGCAACCTGCAAGGACGGCATACTTTCAGAGCAATGCATGCCAAAAAAATATACAGGCAATCAACTGTTACTATAAAAAGCAGGCTCACCGAACAATAACAAAGAAAGCCAGATATGTTGCCACAAACCACATGAGCTGAGAATGACTGGATGGCATGCCGAACTCGGTGAAGTTATCACGAGCTACACATAAAAGAAGCAAAACATCAGTGATACTATGGAGCAAGCTTACTTTATGTTCTCAAGATGAAGCATCTTCAAGGAGAGAAAAAAATTACCTTTGTATGGTCTGGCTTCCTTAATTACATGCTTAAGTACAAAGTTTATGGCCTCACTGAGTAGAGTGCCACACAAGAATGTGATCTGAAAGAAAAGTGGCAGTGAATTTTCATGGAATAGCCATAATCATATTATTAGTGCACTACATCAAGAGCCATTACATTGCAACTTCTGCTGTTATAAAAGTATTGGAACACCGTGGCAAGAGAATTGTCGATATTACAGTTGCAGCTTTATTAGATAACTCAGCAGCCATGTTTCAGTACAGAATATGTTACATACTAGTTTGTCTGTGCTTTTGCGATTATAAATTGTGCACACATCTTATTATCATACACGACATTCTATTTCCTTTTTGTTGCACTGTGCCGTCTTTAATAGGCCCATAAACAGGCCCTGTTGCAAGTTTTCGTTTTACACTGAACATCCAAAGCATCCTCTGGAAAGCGTTTTACAGGAATAATTTTGCAAATGCATAATAAAAGAAAAAGGATTAATTAAAAGAGTAAGCAAAACTAGAGAAATCTGGCGCTTCACCTTCAAGATGAGGTCGAGATAGTGTGATTGGGCTTTGTGTGCATCGCCTTCTGACCTGCTAACCAGCTTCGATTCTCAGTGCATTCCTCAATCTTGCCATAAGGAAATGAATGACCGTGACATGTAAGATTGACCGTTTTTACAAAGTATCACTCAATACCTATTTCAAGCACGGTTGTCAAGTGCCCACTATGCCATTATTATTTTTTTTGCGAATCAGCCAAAGGCCCACTACGCATCAGTAGGGCAACACGCAAACCTGTGCAGCTGTTCACATTGTTCATGGTTCTGCTTATGATGATGATTAGATGTTCGAGGGCTCTTTAATGGGTGGGCCTTTAAGACACCCACTCGGTCCTCAATTCACATATTTTGACACCTGGAGCAACTCTACGCTTCTGCCATGCAATATATACACTCCTTCCACTATATGACATTCATATAGTGTTTTCTTCCAAAGCAGATTCAACAAATCTCGTGGCTTTGTGGCAGGACACTTGCTTGACCCGCAGACAGCCTGTGTTTGATCCTCACTCAAACCTGGAAATGCTTATTATTTATTTGATTTGCATTTTTCTCAATTTTTCAGTCATGAACATGACGATTTTTCACTCGCAACCATCGATGCCAACAGCAACGTTCAGATTTCTGCAAAACGAGCAATGCAGAAAAGTAAAAAAAAAAGTGTGAAAAACGAGTTTCTTGTTTTTCACACTCTTTTATTTTTTACTATGTTGTACCAACATGCCCAAGCAACCACTTTAGCTCTTTAATGCTATTGTGTTAATAAATTGAACTGCCCTGTTACCATACTACCAGGGTGCAGAAGTCAATTTCAAAAGTTGCTGTGCACTGCTCCAATTTGTATCACTTATGGCATTACTTGCCAAACTCACTTTTTCTCAGTTTCACTAAATTCACTTTGTAAGCTATATTATAGTCTTTTTTGTTGTTCTAGTTATTTAGTACAGCACCAACATTTTTTTTCATAATTCGCTACACTTTTTAGAGGGGCACCAAGTTCTTTTCCCGTTCTATTACAAAAAAAAGTATAACAGCCCATCTAAAAAAATTTTTTTTCACACCAAAACTTTGCACAGATACGTAAACATGATGTTATAAACTATTTTGTTGATATTTGATGCATTATCACTCAATAAAAGTTTTCCAAACTTGCCATGTGAAGTCTCTAGCTCCTTTAGAACACAATGTCGTACATTTTTACAGTACCAGATTGTCAACCAAAGATTACTCATCTGTTGCAGAAACTTCATATTGCGTGACCACCTGTATTTTTGTCAACAGTTCATGGTGGGGGAATTAGTTTTCTTTAATCTCCACCACTCGACAGGGGCGCGCACACAAAACCAAGTGAATATGCCCCACTGTGCTTTTGGACACTCTTCTCTTAGCTCTCCCACAGACTTTCTTAATTATTCAATCAGAAAAACACATGAATTTTATAAATCGGGCCCACACTTGGAGTGATATGTTCTTCACTGGCTTTAAGTAATGAAAAGTCGTACAATTTCTTTAGCTTGGAACAAAAGCATGAAAGCTAAGTAACTTGCCAGACCTAAAATGAATTGGAAGCAGCCACGCAGTTTTGGTGAGGAGGCACCCATTGCTTAAACGTTTATGTCTTACTAAGATTTTGAAAAACCCACAATTTAACTTTTTACTTGAAACTAGCTTTTTGAATGGGCGTTACAATTGCCAATTATTTAATTTTGATTAGAAGTATTTTTTATATGAAAAAATATTAGATGTGTTCGCCCCACCATTAAATTTATGGAAGTCTTGGCTTCTATATTTGGCTTGTTTTGAAAAAATTATTGATAATAAAAAACTGACCCTTCAAAAAATAAAACATATTTCAGTGTGTCCTACGGCCACCTAAAACTTGACGCAGAAGTTTTAATATTTTTATACTGACAGGTAAAGCAGTGCCTATTAAAGCAATGACTTTCACTTCATACCACGTGCAACCACATATCCGAGTGCATCGCAGTAACCAATAGATGCCAGCAGAATTTCTCCATATTTACTTATCATTGGGTGCCCAAAATGACAGCCGGCACAAATTGATCGATTGATATGTGGGGTTTAACGTCAACCAGCACAAGTAGCCTTGACAAAAAGTTGCTAGTACTCCAAAAAATTAACACTCTTTTATTGACTGTATTCATTGTTATCAAATTTATAGGTGTGGCCACAAAGAAGTGTTTGTTTGGTATCGCTGGGGTACGTAAAACATGATGTTATGCACTTCACTATGCCTTTAGCAAACTGTTCCTCGGTTTGCCCAGCAGTTTCTTGTGTCACTTGAGGGAACCTACAGGAGACGACTGCTGGGTGAAATTCTCTTAAGGAATTCTCCTGGCTGCTAGTAGAATGGCCACTGCCTTCTTTATACATACTAATATTCAACAAATAAAATGCACTACATGCAGCATTTAGTACACTGTTTCAATTTCACACTTTCTCGCGGCTTTTCCACTTTCCAACAAAACAGAGAACACATTAGTCAACTCTACAAGTGTATCCAACTTACCGTGTGCAAATCTCTTCTGAAAATGACTAGCGTTCCAAATGACACCAAGATCACCAATGGTGAGAGGGAAATATAAGCTAAAGTCTTCCCCAGCCAGTCACCTAAAAAATAAAAACACCGCAATTGTGATGCCGCCTACGTCACCTTCAATAACGCCCTGCTGCCATACAACTTCGTCATACTGATGCAAAGTGCGGGGGCGAGCTCGTTGGTATGCCATTCCAAGAGTGCTTACAGCGCAAGAAATGACATGGGACAACGAGCCCAACAAAAATTAGCGTTATATCTTCTCGGAACATGTTACTTCTACAGTTACCACCCGAAGCATCGCTTTTGGGTTGACTGATTAGTTGAGGGGATAAAAAACCAAAAAAAAAAACCCGAGAAATGAGTAGCTTTCTTACACAAGTTCGACTTAAAGCCCTTCTATACTGCTGTTGTCCGCCACATAGGTGGTTAGAGACCGTCGCTCAGATGAAAAAAGGCAGTGGCACTGAACACGATTTAAGTTCGACCAACAGGTAAGTGCAGTATGATAATGTAAACATAATCGACACTTATGTTTACACCATCGCACGCGCCTCACATGATGTCTTTTCAATTACTACACAACAGCGCTCTGAGGTGCCCTCGGCAAAGCAAGCAAAAATAACATCTGCAAAGCTTAGCTCTTTTCATATTCGTGTGCGCCCAGACGAGACACGAAACACGCCAACGTGGATAAGTAGTTCAGACCACTGTTCAAACGTCGACATAGCAAACAAATATTTGCGCACTGATAGTTTCCCTCTTGAATGAAGTGAGTGGTTACAAAATCGATGAGCATACTATCCGGTAAATAAATTAACGACGCAGTAATTCCTTCCTCGGAAACGTAACGGATGCGATGCGTCTGATCACTTTTCGATTATTAGTCACAGGAGCCGTCAATCACGCAACTATTGACGAGGTTTCTAGCACCAAAATGAATACTAGAGGTAGTCGGATAGAGTCTATAGACTAATTACCGGCAGGGTACTCGACGTGGGTCAGGGACAGCGGCACCCATGATCGAATTTCGTTGTCAAAACCGCCAGGTACCGGACCATCCCCAGGTCGACCACCGGCCATGTTGTGTTGGCGATTTTCCCGCAGAGGCAGCGTTATAAACATAAATGCCACTGCATACGACGTCCCAAAACCCGCTTGAAAAAAAAAGTAAAACAAAACTTTTTTTCAAGCTCACCTAGACCCTATTAATTAACTTTAATTGTGCAGGAAGTTCTTTTATAAATAGATACATAAAGATAAATTTGCATCAACTATTATTTGAGGAACCGCATCAGACTTTTGACAAATCGTAACACAAGCAAGCCAAGCCATTACAATTAGTTTTATTTATTTATTTATTTACAATATGGCGGCGCCCTTGAAACATGCATTAAAGTTCGAAATCGTCGCCGAGTGCCCAGTCACGAAGGCTCGGACTGCAATCTTAACTCTTCCTCATGCAGTTGTCGAAACACCAGTGTTCATGCCCGTGGGCACGCAGGGTACCCTGAAGGGTCTTGCGCCTGAACAAATTGAGGAGCAAAGATGCAACATGATTCTTGCCAACACTTACCATCTCGGCATGCGTCCAGTGAGTAGTCGTCAATACAGCGAATTCGCAAGCGCTGCGCGTGTGAAACTCATGCATTGTGTTACGCTGAATAATCTAATAAACCTGGCGTGTGTTATATGTCACGTAGTACGCCACGTGTCAACAGCAGGGAGGGGATATAAAATTGCCGGCACTCTATGAAGCGGCGTGCCGGCACTCCCGTCGTTTGGGTTTGGTGGCGCATGAACTTAATTCGTATCACGCGTTTAACATCATTTCGCTTTTCTTCTAATTATTTAAGTATTAACATGAATGCTACGAAGGGGCCGTAATTGTATTTTAAGAAGAAATCAAGTTAGCGTCGGCGATGACGCGCCTGGCGTTGGCAGAAGTGACACGAGCGAAACGGCACCGTATGTTACGGACCTTTAGAGCACTTTAGTGGCTACTGCGGGCACAATATCTGCAACGTTAAAATGCTGGCTGCACGTGAATGCTAAGTGGTTGAAACATGTTTTCGCGACGTAATTGCGTGCACACTTTGCAGGGGACAGAGATACTGCAAAAAGCTGGTGGCCTTCACAAGTTCATGAATTGGAAAAACGGTTTGCTGACTGTAAGTACCATGTGCTGCCTAATGTTAATATTCATTTGTGATTGAGCGTCCAAATATGCATTTCTATGCGGCTTTAACCTATGCATTTCTATGCGGCTACTAAGCATCAGCCAATGTCTACATTTCAGGATAGCGGCGGTTTTCAAATGGTCTCTCTTGTCAAACTAAGTGAAGTTACGGAAGAAGGCGTGAGGTTTGTGTCACCGTATGACCAGCGTGAGATCATGCTCAGTCCCGAAAAGTCGACTGAAATACAGAACACTATTCACGCTGACATTATGATGCAGCTGGATGACGTTGTCAGCAGCACAATCTCTGGACCACGGGTTGAAGAAGCCATGCACAGGTGTTTGTCTATTTTACTTCACACCACTACTGCACTATTGCATGCTGGTTGGAATTTTGTTAACGTATGTGTATTGTTACAGTAGCTTCTTAGATGTAAGTTAAGCAATAGTTGCATATACAAATGTATCTACATTGCAATTTTTGTATAGTATATTAGCATCAGAACCCGAAATTTCTGGCCTCTAAAGTTTTCATACCCACGTCATTGGAGCAGAAACTATGTTTTCTAAGTGCACTTGGGCCTGAATTTTCAAAAGGGTAATTGTATTTGCTGAAAAAAAAAGAAATGCAGAGCATTTCTTAGTGAAGGCACTTGCTCAAGTAATCTTCGTGTACTACTTGTAGCTAGTCCACATCACGAAAATTTATCACAGGGCCTGCAGGAATATCGGCAAAAGAAATTGCTGAACACATCCGAATTTCATCACTGAAACATTTAAAATAAGGTAGAAGTTCAGGAGAAAAAGTAGGTTTGAAGTGATGAATAATCCCGGAGCGGGGGATGTCGCTAAAGCCAACATTTCGACAAAGAGACTAGTGTTCCTGGTGGCTATCTTGGCTAAGTCGAAATGTTCACCTCCTATAAAAATGTTCATCCTGGAGACATTCCTTATTCAAGAACTTTTTATCACTTTAAAGTATGCTTTTGTGAAGTTCAGATGTCAGCCACAAAAGAAAGTAATTAGCATCAAAACTACAAATAGAAAAGCAGGCATGGTAAATGTAAATAATATAGTTGATGTGCAGTGCACACTAATTCTGATTGAGAAAAAAATATCAATTTGTCAATGTTCTATTATGTATAATAATAATTGTTAGAGTTTAATGTCCTAAAACTACCACATAATTATGAGAGATTTATATAATTACGAGATTGGAGGGCTCCAAATATTTCGACCGTCTCGGGTTCTGAAGCGGTACACCCCAAATTATAGTACATGGGCCTCAAGAATGTGTGCCTCCATCAAAAATGTGGCCTCCGTGGGCAGGATTCGATCACACGAATTCTGGGTCAGCAGTGAAGCACCAGACGACCGGGGTGGGTAAGGCTCTGTTATGTCACGTGTAGGTTGTGAAGTCTTGTGAATTACTTCATTGAGAAAATGGAACCATGTGCTCATTTAAAAAAATATTAACCTGTCAATAAGAGCCAAAATAAACTTTTTTTTTTATTTAAAGAATGCTAATTCAAAACACACTTGCAACTACTGAAAAACTGTGCTCGCAAAATACCCTTAATATATATTACTACGCATCTTGTGGGCTTCTTTCTGCAACAACCTCTAATAGGAAATTCTGTGTAGGACAACTTGGTGAAATAGTGTCAGCACTTCTGAGCATATACTACACCTTCTCCAAATACAAATTATGCCTTACAAGAATTGTTTTGAGAAAGTCTGCCTGTACTTTTTTTATCATACATATCAATGATAATGCAATCAGCATCGAAGTGAAGGAGTTCCATGTCATCTTGTGAAAATGTTAATTTTTTTTGTAGTTTTTGTTACTAGCATCTCTGGAACTTCCATGTTGCTGTGGTGCCATTCTTTTCAAATTTTTTCCTCCACACTCAGCGTCCTATGATGCAAATGTTAGTACATGCCTTTGTTGAACTGGAGTACCCATTTGCTTCAATGAAGACATAAAGTGAGCCATTAATAAAAGTAAAGACACGATATACCATGCTGATGGGTGACTTTAATGCCAAAGTAGGAAAGAAGAGGGCCGGAGACTATGCAGGGGGGGAATATGGTATCGGCTCTGGAAATGCCAGAGGCGAGTTACTAGTAGAGTTCGTCGAACGTAATAATTTATGGATCTTGAACATCTTCTTCAGAAAATGGGCTAAGCGGAAGTAGACGTGGTGAAGTCCTAATAGTAAAACTAAAAATTAAATGGACTTTATTCTGTGTACACACCCAGGCATTGTACACGATGTAGTAGTAGTTGGCAAGATCCGATGCAGGGACCATAAAATGGTATGAGCTCGTATTCGCCTAGGTTCAAAAAAGCAAAGGCATAAATTGATACGCAAGAAGCCAAATAATTAGGTAGCGAGGAGAGGGAAAGTACAGGAATTCAGAGTTTCACTTCAGAATAGATTCGAGGCTCTAAACGAAGTAACCAATGTTAACATTGGCATAGTGAACGATAATCTTACTGGTATTTTCAATGAGTGTGCAATGGATGTCGGAGGTACATTCACTAGACAGGACACTCGCGAACTATCACAAGAGATGAAAAATCTCATTAAGTGACAAGAAACCATAAAAACCTCAAATGCAACTGACAATGTAGAGCTAGTGGAGCTTTCAAAGTTAACCAGTGGGCGCAAGGTAGCTGACATCAGAAGATATAACATTGAGAGAATTGAGCAGGTTTTAAAAAGCCGCAGAAGCCTAAAAGCTGCAAACGCAAACTTGTGCATTGGCAAAAATAAGATGTCTGCATTAGGGACAAGGAAGGCAATGTCATAATCAATATGAATAAGATAGTTAAGGTGGCGGAGGAGTTCTGCAGAGAGCTAGCTGTACAGAAGCCGAAACAACCAGGATGATATCGTAAGGAGCAATAACAGCCCAGAGGAATTCGACATCCTCCCATTAACAAAAGGGGAAGTAGGGAAAGCTCCAGAAGGAACGCAAAGAGGCCAAGCCACTGGTGAGGATGAAGTGACAATGGACCTGCTGAATGATGGCGGAAAGATTGTGTTAGAAAAACTGACCACCTTGTATACGAAGTGTCTCTTGACGGGAAAAGGACCAGAATCTTGTAAGAACGCCAACATCATTTTAATCCATAAAAAAAGGAGATGTCAGAAAAATTACACGTCAACCAGCTTACTGTCGGTTCTCTACAAACTATTTACAAATTGATAGCTAATAGAATTAAGGTGAAATTAGAGTTCAATGAACCAAAGGACCATGCAGGATTTCGTACAGGCTGCTCCAAAATATACCACATTTATACAATCAATCAGGTAATAGAGAAATGCACAGAATGAAACCAGCCCCTATACATAGCTTTCATAGATTATGAGAAGGCGTTTGACTCAGTCGAGACGTCAGCAGTATTGCAGGCACTACGGTATCTGGGCATCGATGAACCCTGCATAAAGATACTGGAAGAAATCCACAATGGATCCACAGCCACCATATTTCTTCATGAATAAAGTGACAGAATCCCAGTCAAGAAGGGTATGAGGCAGGGAGACATGATCTCTGCAATGCTGTTCTCCGCCTGCTTACAGGAGGTTTTCAGGGCCCTAGATTGGGAAGAGTTAGGGATACGAGTTAATGGAGAGTATCTTAGTAACCTGCGATTCGCTTATGACATTGCCTTGATGAGTAACTCAGGGGATAAATAGTAGCTCATGATTGGACACGAAAAGCAGAAGAGTAGGTCTGAAAGTTAACATGCACAAAACTGAAGTAATGTGCAACAGTCTCGGCAGAAAACAGCACGTTGCAATAGGTGGAGAGACACTGGAAATTGTCGAGGAATATGTCTACTTAGGTACAGGCATCAACCGTGGAGCCAAACCTTGCATGTGAAATAACTAAAAGAATAACGATGGGGGTGGATCACATTCGGCAAGCATTCTCAAATCATGAATGGTAATCTGCCACTAAGCCTCAAGAGGAAGGTATATAACAGCTGCATCTTGCTGGTACTTACCTATGGAGCAGACACCTGGAGGCTTACAAAGACGGCTCAGCTTAAATTGAGGACGACGCAGTGAGCGATGGAAAAGAAAATGATAGGTGTAACCTTAAGAGACAAAAAGAGAGCGAAGTGAGTCAGGGAACAAGCCAGGGTTAAGGATATTTTAGTTGAAATTAAGAAGACGAAATAGATGTGGGCCATGCACGTATCAGGTAAGCAGGATAACCGGTGGTTATTAAGGGTAACTGACCGGATTTTTAAGAAGGCAAGTGCACGAAGGGGAGACAGAAAGCTAGGTTGGGCCGATGAGATTAAAAAGGTCGCAGGTATAACATGGCAGCAGAAAGCACAATACACAAGACTGGCTTGATTGGCAGATTATGGAAGAGGCCTTTGCCCTGCAATGGGCATAGTCAGGTTGATGATGATGACTCACTTGTGGGAGAAAAGAAGACAGAAAAACAAAACCTTGTTTTTTTCTCTTTTTCTGCCTTGAAATTTTATTTTGGCTGACTTTTAACCCTTTATAGGTTTGCCTATGTTTTTGTCCCGATATAATCAAAACTGGCTATGGTACATACATATAATTCACAAGAAAATAGTATAAAATTTCATCAAAATTAAACCAGTACTTTGCTTGAAGAGGGAGACATTTGTCCCACTGACTCATGGAGGTATTATGCAATCACATCACCGGGTACTTGGGATGAAAGGGGACACCACAATATATTTACTCAACCTATTATGCAAGGAGGGTATGCATTCAAGATTAATTTAGCTGAAATATACTATTTGTACTGTTCTTCAACATAGCAGGTTATATATTTGTTACTCTCTTTCTTTCTTTTCTTTTTTTGTAGAACCATCAGGTGGCTTGATAGGTGCTTAATGGCCCATCAGAACTCGGCAACACAAAACATTTTTCCAATTGTTCAAGGTGGTCTGGATCCTGTACTGCGGAAGCAGTGTGCTTTGGGTGAGGATTCTGACTATGTTTTGGCTCTTCATGTGATTGAAGCTGCAGTGCTGCTTTTATCATCATGCATAGATGCTCCTGAACACCCAATTTCTCTCCTCTAGAACTGCTGAAACGAGACGTTGCTGGCTATGCTATCGGGGGCCTTAGTGGAGGTGAGAGCAAGGATGATTTTTGGCCAATGGTGGACATTAGCACAGACTTGCTTCCGAAGAATAAGCCACGATATCTTATGGGTGTTGGGTAAGGTTGTAGCTTGTTTCATGAGCTGATTTTTACAACTGATGCTCTTCAGTTTTCCTGTCATACTGGTTGAATATTTAAATTTCAAATGGTGGTGTGCAATAGAATAAGTACAAAAACTCAAGAAGGAACATGGACGCTGTCCATGTTTCTTCTAGTGTTTTCTTTCCCTTTTTTTTTACGTGCTATCATTCGAAGATGACTTGCCTACTCACCCAGAAGTCTCTCCTTCTGAACCATTTAAATGTATATCTTTTTGCACAGCAAATGCTAACTTCATGCTTTTCCTGCATACTGCTCGCAAGTATTCAATGCAACTTCCGTACCTCCAAATTTTCTCTACATGCTTTGTGTGCACTGCACATTACCATCTATGATGATGGAGTATGTATGTGTATGCAAGAGTGCTGTGGATACTTTCAAACATAATAGAGTAATAGCTAAGCTGCCAAGCGGGCCCAGTGAACGAGCGGAGATGGCATCTGCACATGGGTGGCATGCTGGCTCAGCCAGCATTTTTACTGAGCAAGCCGCTCACCCACTTATACTGTCTCCTCAGTGAAGCATACACAGCAGATGAGCATGCGAGAGTTTTCCAAGCAAGACATCTACTTGATTGACAGCAATTTCAACCTTGTTCAACAGGTGGCACAGCAATGCGGCTCGCTGAAACAAGCGGGGCATCGCTCAGCTGTTATTCTTCCTTTTTTACCTTTTTTATTGTGCTCCACTGCCCCGTTCGCTCCTTCATTGAGCCCGCTGGCCCACTGCGCCACTTAACTATTACTCACTCATGATGTCTGCACTGTGGATGGCATAATGGCTGCTGGGTGTCACATGAGATAACATCAGACTTCGCAGGATGAGGCAAGGAATATGGCACTCAGTTTTGGGATTGTTGGCAATATGTTGCATAGTGATACCACAGACAGTATCACATTAGTGTTAGCGGCAGGTTAGGACACTGATCTTCCATATGTAACGAAGCAGTCGTGTATGCTTTGCTAGTATACACATGACAAGAAGGAAATCCAGTGGTCTGGTATGTTTAGATGAGAAAGGGTTCTTTCCCAAGAAGAGTTGTACTTTCCTTTCGATCTGCATAAGCTCACAAACAAGTTGATTTGGTGCTGCTTTGTTGTATTTAAATATGTGTAGTTTTTTTTTTTTTGAGCCAGTCTGAATTGCATTTTCATAAAAGTGAGGAGTGAACAATGTTTTACGTTGGTTATGCATTCTCCATATTTAAAAAAATTATGCTGACATTGCTATGTACTGAAAATAAATTTAATCACTTAATTTTTAAAAAAGGGGGAGGGGGGCACAGTGGCTGCAGGACATGTAACCAGCTATGATTAAAAAAGGCAGTCTTGATGTCAGCGTTAACATTGCTGGTGGGCCCGATTTAACTACGATGCGAAATTCCCTATACTGCATTTCATATACACTCTTTAAATGATGCCTTTGAACTAAACTTGAACAGCAAAACTTTATGAAAGGGAATAACCGGGCTAGTCAGTATTGATTTATGGTGTGGGAACGCAAACTTATTTTTTTGTCTGTTTCTCTGTATTTATTCTCCCATATCCTAAATTAGCATAATACTTTGAATGTATATCTGCCATATATTACAAATGTTTCATAAGTATGTCACATGTGGGAGGACTTGTGTTGTATTAATGCAAAGTTTCTTGACAGCTACATATTTAATTTTTCCTTTAGTTCATTGTTGACCATTTAATAAATGTTTAGAAAAAAAAAGAAAGGAGCCAGGTTATCAATAAGCTTGAAAAATACTAACTTATGTGGCAGGAATTTTTATGATAACATTATTTATATGTGAAACCAGGAGGTAATTATTATAAAATTTCTACATATCAGCTGTATTATTGATGAGGCAGTGATAAAGCTTGTTCCTTTTTCAAGCCAGTCACCACAGTCTTTTGTTTAGCAAGCACCTTAGTCACCATGTTGTGCACCATGTGCTATGTGCTCCATGTGTTGCTCCATGTGTACACAACTTATGGAGTGATATACAGAGCAGCTTTACTTTTGGCTTCATTTATATTGGTGCATATGTACCCCCGCAAGGTTGCCTAGACATGACATTCCAGAGCATCTTCAAAACATCTGCAGCATAGTTTCACCGTAAAATGTTAAGCTGAAAGCTGATGAACCAGGGCATTTTTTTCTTAGTGAATAAACCTTTAACAAATGCTGGTAGATTCCAGGCGCAAGACAAGAATTTCCATCACCACACTGCAGCTGTTTCAGTAAAAGTAAAATGAAATTGTAACAATAGCAAGGGATTCCTTTCATCATGGTAAAAGGCTTTGTTTATGAGCATGAATTCAAGGAGCCACTGCAGGCATCAATTTTACAGACATTGTGAGGAAGCTGTCAGAGTCAAAAACTATCAGGGCAGCTAAGTTTGTGCAACGCTGTGCAATGTTTCATGTTGAGCTATCTGCTTATAATGGTCGCTGAAGACAGTTGGACCACTGTGTTATATACGTCCCACTTTCTGGAAGTGATGTCCCACTCTATCCACAGAAGTGGGTGGAATGGAACAGATTTTAGCCATCACAAACTATTTTTTTGCAGCTGCACCTAGAGCTGTAGAAACCAGTGCGTTTCAAAAAGTTTTGCAGCTTTTTTAGACCTTAATTATTGTCAATCAAACGTCATTCTACATTTAAGTTCAACAAAACCGAAATATAGTTGTGAAAAGTGTCCCAATCCTCCCAACTCTTCCTTACTGTCTGTACGTGATCTAAAAGTTGGTAAAATTAGGAAATTGTGCAAGTGTTGTTTCTGCCAGCATGCAGTAGGAAAGCTGCAAAAGCTACGAAAAGCACAGTCAATAGATATGTGACCGCACTATGCCAACGGTATCATGTCTGTGAGTGACCTTGCTATGCGTACAGGCTCCTCGGAGCTGTCAAAAAATGACAGCAGCGATTCGCACACGTTCCGAAATCAGTTAGAATCGCCATTCGTCTTCAATCAAATAGAACACATTCGTATATTCATGTGCTTGCCTGTTTGTGCACTATACCGCCAGATGGCACCATTTGTCCAGGCCACTCAAACTCAAATTTGTGGCCGCTGTGATTGGGTAAAATGCTAATGCTAGGAAGTTTGTGTACACGCTAAAACATTTTTATGCAGTTATGGGAAAAGTGCATAAGTTTGTAGTTAGTGCTGTTCTTCATCATGACAGTAGGCTCAATGAAGCTTAACCTAAGAATAGTATGCACCACCTTTTACACGATGTGCAGCTTACCATATATGGATAAACTGGGTCAACATGGAACCTATATACGTTACAGAAAGTTTTTCTGTGCAGTAAAGTTCACGCATGCACACTCTTTAGCCAGTGCAGCATAACCATACTTTCTATGCAGTAAACCAGGACCGCTAGCTATAAGACTCTAATATCGAGACGAAGGGCAATCATTTTCTGCGAGTGTTTATTGACTGCTATGGTAATTTAACGGGGAATCATGCGCAGTCGACATTCAACACCAGTTGCCATCTATCACATACCTGCCTACAGGGGACTGAAATTCGCACACCCGATCAGAGAAGTGCTGGCCAAACAAACACGATCTTTGCCTTGTGACAGTAAACATTGTAATGCCACCTCGGTTCCTTCACTTTGCCATAAATGACATCACATTCTTAATGTTGCCAACATCTGTGGGAAGCCAAATGGGCGATTCGAGGCAGTCACTAAAATTAGTTTATAAACAATATGTTTATATCTCCAGGCTGTAAATTTTCATAAATCATGAGAACGTGCAAAATAACAATAAATTAATTTTAGTGAAATCAACTTACGTCAAAAAATTATCAAAGTTGGCCTTTGAAAGTTCAGGCAGCTTAGCTAGAACTTTTCTAGATTAACCATATTTGCGTTGGAGCTTACCAGTTACATTAAATTTAAACAAACCATGAAAATTCTGATAGCTGATGTGCATGAATGTTATAAAAATAGCAATAACACCTAGAACACTGGTGTGCTTTCGCTCAGTAACAGTCAAATTTCAGTACTCAATGTTAGAAAATTTTTAGTTGAAAAGTTAAAAGCAGTAGAGGGAACAACATGATGTAATACAAACTAGTAAAGGTCACATGTATTGCTCTTATGAATAACAATCTACTTTAATTATAATAGTCTGATGCAATGCAACAAATGTGTGAACCATAAGGAAATCGCTAAATTGCAATCCCCAGCTCAGATATGTTTGTCTATAAACTCTGCTGGTCACCGTTCAAAATTGTTTTTGACATTACCATGGCCCAGAAAAAAAAAAAAGATGTATCTTTATAAACTGCCCACCTCTCTCTGAATTCTTCCCAACCCAGAGGTCATTTTATTTTGTTAAAAATCAATGGCATTATTCTTAACTGACCAATCCATAGCTCTGTTATCCATGTCTGATCATTTGTACACTTTGGTTTTATGCTAATATTTGCCTGGTATAAACATTAGCAGTTTGATGTAAGCTGAAAAAAAAAAAAAAACTCTCTTTTCTAAGAGTTATTTGTTGGTGCTGTTATTAGCTCTCGAAGCGAGGTCGCTGCCATGCATACTTCAATATTTCCTGGGAAACATTTATGTCCTTTTTATTTTTTTACCTTTCAGTTACCAATATTCGTGCTAAAGAGTAGTAGTATATGAACAGCATATTCTCCCTTCGAATTTGCTGATTCTTGAGGAACAAGTCTCTATTCTCTAAAACAAAACAACCAATAACTTATGGCGTATCAATGATACTCTAAATTAAAGCATGCAACACTCAGCTAGGTGAATTTATGCAATAAACATACTCTCCGAGGTAAAAATAGAAGCAAACAAGCATTAACATTTCGGGCCCCTTGGTCACATTGACAATGTTAGCATGGGCATGCGGCTATTTATAAGTCAGGTAGCGCAGCATGTAGGTGTATATTTCAGGTAGATTGTTCTTTGTCCTGTTTATCGTGCAGCTAGTCGACTGAATGTAAAATGATTCGAAAAGCAGATGTGCAGATAAATGTCATTCCATTGCAGTGATAGCTGCTGCATCCCAGCCAATATTGTGGCCAGTTTGATTGTTGTGTTCCACCTAGGCATTCACAGTTGTGTGGCTCTTGGCAACATCGTTTTTGTGTTGTTTCAAACACCGTTTAAAATTCCCACTCTGGCCGATATATGCCTCGTCACATCCCCCGCACGGTATATTGTACATAACCCCCAGAAAGTCTGTGTGCTCCAGAGGATCCTTTGCTTGAACAAGCTGTTGTTGTTGTTTTCCAGTAGGAACGTTATGACACCATAGCCTTTAAAAATTCTTTCAAGAATCTCGCGTGTTCCCTCTGTGTAAGGAATCACTATCTGTTTTTGGAATCATTTTACATTCAATCAACTAGCCGCTCAATAAACAGGACAAAGGGCAATCTACCTGAGATATACGCCTGCGTGCTGCACCACCTGGCCCATGAATAGCCGCATGCTCATGCTAACATCTTCATTGAGATCAAGGGACCCATACGGGGCCTGAAATGCTAATGCTTGTTCGTTTTTATTTTTACCATGGTGAGTCTATGTTTGTTATATTGTATAAGTATGTTTTCTCGCCAGACGATTGTTCATCGAATGCTTGATTATATCAATTAGGTGAATGTATATTTTTATCAAAACATCACAGCATAATAAGCAGCAATTACATGTTGAGATTTCTTGCATGCTAAATTTTAGTTGTGTCATATGTGTAAACTTTTTCTTCATCAACTTCTTGCACATCATTTAAAGAAAATATTTTACTGAAAAGGATTATAATATTTTGAAATTTATTAACAACACAGTTACACTGAAAAAGTATATGATCTTATTTTTTTCCTCAGCTTTGCAGTTGACCTCGTTGTCTGCAGTGCCTTAGGATGTGACATGTTTGACTGTGTGTTTCCAACAAGGACAGCGGTATGTAATGCGTGGTTATCAGTGGCACTTTTTGCTTTAGGCATAGTATGAGGAGAAGGGAAATATGTACAGTTGCAACAGAAAAAGATTAACACAAGTGACCAGTGGCCAAAGTGACAAAATTGTAACATGTAACGCTGGTGCTCCTAAGCACGCCAGTAGGGAGAGTGTCAAGAGCGTTCCATTTTCTAAAGTGAGAATGGCCAGCGAAAAGCACTCCATCAAACAGCATTTTCAGGGCAATTCAATAAAGCTACGGTTGCTTGCAACTCCAGCAAAACAAAGAAATTTGAAATGTGCATAGCCAAGTTTGTCGTTAAGGAATGCACAAGCATTTATTTAAAATATGGGTTTTCGGATGGGCCAGCTGCAAGATGGGCTGCTTTCTGCCAGCAACCTCTTCTTTAGCCCCGCCGCGGTGGTCTAGTGGCTAAGGTACTCGGCTACTTACCTGCAGGTCGCGAGTTCGAATCCCGGCTGCGGCGGCTGCATTTCCGATGGAGACGGAAATGTTGTAGGCCCGTGTGCTCAGATTTGGGTGCACGTTAAAGAACCCCAGGTGGTCGAAATTTCCGGAGCCCTCCACTACGGCATCTCTCATAATCATATGGTGGTTTTTGGACGTTAAACCCCACATATCAATCATCAAACCTCTTCTTTAGAAAATGTGTGCCTGGCACTCTCCTTATCGATGTGCTCAAAAACAACAGCATCACATGTGGCACTATTTTGCCACTCCGACCACCGGTCACTTGTACTAATCATTTTTCATTGCGACTGTACCATTTGTTGGCTGTTGTTGCCAACAGACTTTTTTTGGGACAACATAGTCACGCCTCTTTGCTGAAAGAAATTCGTTAAACTAATTCGCTTAACTTTTTCGACAAATCACAATATTCACTTATCCAATTTGCCAAATGCTGCAAAATGTTTTGTTAATTACCTCACAGCACATGTTGCATACGTCGAATTGAAAGAAAAGGGCTGAAGTCATGCAGTTTTACCAGACATGCTGTTACTAGTAATTCTTTAGAAATATCAATTTTTTTAAATGCAGCAAGGTGATTTAGGGTTGTGCCATGTTTCACTAAACACAGAAATGAATGTGTTAAAATAGTGCTAGCGTGAGGATTCTCACTAAGTAGTTATAGATATGTTTTAAACACTATATGGCCTCTATTTTATAACTTTGATGTAAGCTGAAATTAATGATTAGACACAATATATTTAAATGTCGAAGGTTCAGTACCTGCCAGTGGAAAGTTATCTTTTAGTCCTCTTTGCTTTCTTCACATTCACATTATAATTGCTACGAATAACAGCCCCTATACTTTCCTTGGCTTTCTTCGCTGCTGTAATTGTTGTTGTGTCTACGAATAATGAGCCCTTAAAATTTTCTGTTTCCCTTTCAGTACTGTAATGAAGCTTTAAGGTGCAGTATGCACAACTGCATTATATTAATTTGATGATTTGAGAATACTTTTTATGTTTTTTTATCATACTATAAGTTTCAAACATTGCATAAGATAGATTTGAGTGATATAGCAGCAGTATTTTCTTCGAGAGACAAATGTGTTGTTTTCAGATTAGTGTGTTGTCTCTTTTCAAAAAACAATATGCCACGTGTGAAATGGAGACTATATGAGGTCTCCTGATGGGCACCCATTCTCCCATCCGCTTGAACTTCCTTGACCTTGTGAAATTTTGTCACACAGATTTCAACGCTAGCTGCCAAAATTTTTTGACAGGTCTCTCTTTTTTCTAATTTTAAGTTGTCGCATAATCCAATGAATTCTGTAAGAAGGATTTCATTCTGTTCAATTCTGTATATTCAAACATGTACTGTGCATAGCTGGAAATCAGCACGCAGAATCGACTAGTGCATTTTATGAAGGACAAACAACAACTTCATTCCTGTGATTGTACAGCCTCTATGGCTTGGTCACGCACCCTCACACCACTTTCCTTTCTCACGCACAACGCAGTGAGATCTCACTAAAAAAAGATGGAAAAAAGGTGTCTGGGGCTGCTGCTGTGCAACCGTGAAGTCGCCACACATGCTTTAGACTTTTCTTGCTCCATGCTGAGCTTTCTGGGTTGAACAAGTGAAAGAGAGAAGCGTGACTATTATGCAGACACAATTATGCATTCTAGCATGTTGAAAGAAATGGTACGCTGTCGTAAAAGTGCAATGCAAATCAAGAATGAGCTATTTGCATGCAATATCTATTTTCTCTTTTCAGAGATTCGGCTGTGCTTTGGTAATGGGGGGCCAATTAAACCTGAAGAACACTGAGTTCAGCCATGACTTCCGACCTATCGAAAGTAACTGCCCATGCTCTACATGTCTGCGATATACTCGGGCTTATTTGCATCACATTGTCAAGCAAGAGACAGTTGCCTGTCATCTGGTTTCGATCCACAATGTCAACTATCAGGTGAAATGCATTCTATCTTTTGTCTAGCGGTTCCGATGAGTTTCATTAATGTATTCACGAAATAAGCATGTCTGTGGTGCCTGATGATATAAGTGGCGCAAGTCATAATTGTCCACTGGTGTAGCTTTTTCAGCACCTTTGCCATTTGCTTGCAACTGTCCCTTGGTGCAGTCTGATAAGATTAGGGAAAGACTGAAAGATAAAATTATTTATACTTTGTTTGTAAATTATCTGAAAGTATGAAAAAGTACTAATTATTATGCAATATGAAAAAATCCACTTTTATCACAAAAAGATGTTTTGTAAGCCGGGAAAGGTTCAGTAAATAAGAAATGGATGGCAATGCCCAATGGATGGCAATGCCCAATGAAACTTTCGTCACGCCCTTGCCATGACAACTTAATTTTTTTTGTCTTTTGGTCACACCAAAATTGTTTATTCATAAAAAATGGACTGCATCATACTTTGAAATAGCCAAAAATTAAACCGGAGATGGTTTGTTTACCTTTTTTCAGATATCCATGCCTTATATGTTAATCAAAATATCTTCAATACAAAAAGTTCTGTAAAATATGCTTCCAAATCTGTGGTACTAAGATGGTTTATTGATTATGATGTATTGGTGCAAATTTTGAAAAAGTGGAACTCTATCCATCATTTTTTCTTACAATGACCAGCCATGAAATTAACTAGTTAATTTAACAGTATGAGTGTCTACTCTTGTCAGTATCTTATAGCCAGAAAGGTTGCACATCATGGCATAAATTAGAAAGAAGCTGGTGCGGGGTATGCCTAGCTACACATGAAAGTGTGTCTTCTGTGCACTGCCCAGTACCTGCATCAGACTAGTCACAAAATGTGCTGGATGGGCGGTCATTCAATTAAGCTTCTGGTTTTCCCCTTGTTTTCCCCCTTGACAGGGTTCCTCTTTGATCTGGTAAGGTTGCGAGAATCGAGGCTAGCCCACCGCCTTTGTACGGGCTTTGCCGCCTCTTTCTCTGTTCTCATGTCCCGACATGACTCCCCTCCTCCGTGGTCTGCCGCGCTGGAGGAGCGACGAGTGATGTTCAACACCTCTCACCCTACATTGGACACAGATACCTCACACACAATTACTTACTAGCAAAAAGAGGACAAACCTCGGTGTCCAAAATACGGAGGCGAGCTATCAGTAAATCATATCTTACTGTCATGCACTAAACTAGAAAAATTACGGAAAAAACACTGTATCGTATTTTATCATGAACATATACCTCTTCATCCTGCGCTGTTTTTAAGTGAAGACATGCTTGTTGATAACTCAGATTTGATTGATTGATATGTGGGGTTTAACGTCTCAAAACCACGATATGATTACGAGAGATGCCGTAGTGGAGGGCTACGGAAATTTCGACCACCTGGGGTTCTTTAACGTGCACCCAAATCTGAGCACACGGGCCTACAACGTTTCCGCCTCCATCGGAAATGCAGCCGCCGCAGCCGGGATGTTGATAACTCGGAAGTGTTTAGCTTCCTAAAAGAAGCAGGTTTTTTAGACGAACTGTAAACTTATACACTGAATCGTCTTAATACACAGGAACACCTCGTAGGGCTTTCCACTTTTGAGAAGACGATCAAGGTTTTTTAGACCTGGTTGGTATCTTCAAGGCCCTTGCCTAGGTAAGGACTCGGCGAGGCATCCCAACATTTTAAGAGAATCATACCATGCGTTTGGTGCATGATGGCCTAAGCTGCCTATGCACTATAAAAAACCAAACCAAACACCTTTCACCCGGTAGCGGATGTTGACTGTGGCGCCGCGCGCGCAGTCTCCCGGGATGTTTTCGCGCGCGCGCTTCGGGAGCGAGTCAGACCACTCCAGGGACGCCATGGGGTAAGCACGCATTTTTTTCCGTCCGTCGGCTCCCTTTGTATGGGGCTCGTTTGGACTTCGCCAACAGCACCTTGTACCCGCGGCAAACGCTTACCTTTGTCGCCCCCCCCCCCCCCCCCCCTCCGAACGCTAGGCCGAAGAGCGGTGCGATGTCCTAGGGCGTGGCCAGGCTACGCCGACCCGTATCTCTCCGAAGCCAGCTTGAGCGCCATTGCCTTCGCTCGAGCAACTAGGCCTTTGTCCCGGTGTCTCCGTGAATCACTTTTACCACGGAGACATGCTCGCGGCACTCCTGTGTAATACTTCTCGCCAGTGGCGTGGATAAGCCCATTTGCTTTCCCTCCGTGCCTTTGCTACGGGCTCTGTACTGCGTTTTTGGTGTTGCTGCAGACAATAAAGTGTTGCGACCTTGAGCAATATCGTGTTCTCGCCACAGCGACGGTCAACGCGTGCCCTGCTGCTCGCTAAGACCGGACCCACGCTAGTGGCCGTACTCCTTCGAGATACGTGTACACTACATGGTCAAAAGGGGACATTTTTTCCCCCAATTTTTCTTCTTATCTATGTACCTTGTAACCCATGAAGGCATGTTGTAAGTGCCCCGTTACCATAGGTGGGCAAAACTTGTCGAGCTCACTCAGACTCGCTCATGAAGTATATTCTGACCTTTGGACTCACTCGGACTCGGACTCACGAAAATTTTCCTGAACCGGACTCACTCGAACTCACACTCACGAAAATTTTCGTCGGCCGAACTCGCTCAGACTCAAACTCACTAAAACATTTCTCACTCGGACTCGCGGCTCGATTTGAGTCTGAGTCAGTCCGAGTGAATCGACTCGTGAGTCCACCAGCCTAGAATTAGCTTCTTCGACCGTGGTGTCAATGCTCTTTAATACCATTATCTCATGTAATCAGAGCTCTTCTTGGTGCTGTTTGACCGAGTATCTTTAAAAATGAGTTTTGAGTGCTTCTAAACCAGTAAGGCCATTTTTCTTGGAAGAGATTACAACACAAGATATACCTAATAATCCAGAAATTTTCTGGAACAGTTGGTGAGGGGAGTTCAAGGCACCCCCCAACGTAATTCATGCCTTTAATTAATAAATATTGTGATTATTTGGAATACGTGTGAGTACACGTAAAGTGCAAATGTGAATCCGGGTAAGGCTGATAGTAGTGCTGAAGATGACTAGATAGGACCTTAGGTCGGCAAAAGCAAGTGGAACTCACTCAGACTCGCTCAAGAAATATACTTTTTTTGGACAGTTCAGTTCATTCAACCAAATTTCCCGAGGCAGGTTAATCCACTAGCTAAAAGTGTTAAAAGGAAGTAAATAGTTTTTCTGTTTTCACCAGTGTTTCTTTGAAGTTTATATCAAATATGTATCTACTGATGTTGTTTGAGCAAAAGTTTGTTGTAGGTCAGAAAACTCAAATCACATAGAATGTTGCTTTGCTTAACTTCTCAAAAAATCAGGAAAAATTAAGAGGAGCTTTTACCTTGATTAGGCTTTTATGCATGATGGAATAGGAACTAAACTTGTAAAGTGTGCACTTGCAATAGTGAGGAACGAAGAGCCCAGCTCATCCAATGTTTGTTTGCATTTGAAGCAAGGCTTAAGGCTGTTTGAGCTTATGTGTCGCTCAGCTCTTCATATTGGTGATGGACATTTTGGGGGGCTTGTAAATAATACCAGATCTACAGAAATCTGTTAAGAATAATGTTGAGAGCATAGACTCTTTTTGTTGTTGCTAGCCAATTTTTATATATCAAAATGGTATTCCCCATAAAATGACTCCCTGGTTTGTGTTGCACATAAAGAGAAAAAACAAAGCATATTTATATTCAAGTGATATTGAACTGCCTCACATGACAGTGGCCAGCTCATATTTCTGCACTGAGATCCACCTCTGTCGTTATGTACAAAAAAATTACTTACAGTCGTGAACTTCAACTTTCTGAGAAAACATAGTGACGATGTTTGCTACTTTGATTTTGAGGTAAGTCGAAGACCACATCGACCTGCCGTGAAAGCTATCTTTGTTGCAGTGCTACTGTGTAGAATAAACATTGCTTCTTGCAAATGTCAACTTTCAGAGCAGAAATTTTTCAAACATCCATGCCTTATATTTTAATCAAAATATTTTCTGCACAAAAAGTTCTGTCATTGCTGAAAGTGTTTTTGTACCGTTCTTAAAGGTTTGAAGTTTGTGGTTGGGGGGGTGGGGTCAAGACATCTGAAAATGTCTCCTGGGTCCGCTTTTGCAGTCCTTATACATTTATGCCACTGTTTAGCTTCACATAGGGTGGCAGATTAATATCATGTGCCATGGTCACCAATAAATAGGCTTTTGCTGCTTGGTTTGTGCTATTGCAAGTTATCAGATACACAGAACCTTGCCTCTAACAAAAGCTTAGCAACCATACCAGGGTGAAAAGCTCCTACAAATAGGTGGTGCGCATGTGTTAGTTGTGCAAGCATCACTGCTGTGGCGTGCAAATGTCACTTTCTTTGGCTTGTGCAAAATTTCTCAGACATTACTAGTATGAGAAAAAAAAAAAGACAGCCTGTCTCCAATCACCTGCAAGTGAACATTTTAGATAGGCTGCAGATACCGTTTATTGATATCATGACCGAAAAGGTAACAACTGAAAAAGCTGCTATTTATTCAGTACTAGTAAGAGTGGAGGAATGATGGGTTTTTTTAGGATGTTGCTAATAACATAAGTTCATTTCATATTGTACAAAAGGTTTCATTTAGTTTTGTATTGACTTGATGTAAGGTGGAAGCGTCTCATGGTTTCTGTTTTGGTGACATAACATGACGTGCAACAAAATGTCTTTGTTGGCTTTAGACATTGTCTAAATTAATGTAACTCAGATATATAGAGTATATGTGACAGCCAGTAGGTTTTTTGCATGTGAGACTGTCATAAGGCATGTATGATCGAGGAGGTCGCTCTGAAATTATGCGTAATGTACAGCCGCAGCCACATCTGTGTATAACGCGTTAACGGCCAGCCTTCCTCTGCGGGGCGACACCTTGTGGCCATTGCGGGTTGTGACGCCGTGTGCACAGGAGCATTACGCGGCCTTACATACATGCAGGCATGCTCTACAAGAGTGACAACAGTGGAAGGTGTGCTTGTTTAGCTAAAGATCTGCGCCGCTTTCGTCACATCTATTTCATAAGCCGAAGCATGTTTCGATTGATAACACGCGCCTTCATCAACTATGCATGTTTTGTGGACGTTTTGAGGCATGTGATCATATGAAGACACGATAATGCCAACAGCTGCATAAAAAAATCTAGACGGCCACAAAATCAAAACGACCACAAAGAGTGCATCGTTTATGCATGTGTACATGTATTATCAGTCGAAGTGCGCTTCATCCTATGAAATAGATATGATGAAAGCGCTCTGAGCGAGCGCAGATCTCTGGTTGAACAAGCACGCCTTCCAACGTTGTCACCCGTGCAGAGTAGGCCCGCATGTTTGTAAGGTCGTGCATGCTCCTGTGCACATGTCGTCACAACCCGCAACGGCTGCAAGATGTCGCACCACAAAGCAAGGCCAGCTGCTTGCGCGCTATACACAGACGTGGCCGCGGCAGTACATTTTATTTGGGAATGGAATAATGGTACCTTAGAAGATCGGAAACTGTTCAGCCTGCTCCTTCTTTCTTTTCTTTTTTGAAAGAGAGTGACAGTTGAGCAACCTAACTTTTTTTCCTGTCTAGATGAGGCTTATGAAGAGGATTCGAGACAACATCAAGGCTGGAACGTTCGTAGACTTTGTGAAGGCATTCATGAAGACCTTTTATCCAATGGGTGACTATCCTAGTTGGGTAACTGCTGCCCTTGCTGCAGTAAATGTGCATTTGAGCTTCTAAAAAACATGAAAGTCTTGTGAGCTACCCTTGCACATTATGGGTCCAAACAAAGGTGTTGACATAGCTGATCAGTATATTGATCAGTTGGTCTCTTTTTTTTTTAATTAAACAGCCTGCTGTGATTTTGCTTGCTTACTTGTTCTACAGTATTTTTTTAAGTAGGAAGTCTTGGACCAGTCAAGTGGCAGTTATTTTCGAGATAAATTATGTATAAACTCTGGCCATCTCCCTCGCCCATTATATCAATGTCACACTATGTACTGGGCAAGGCAGACAGCCAGGATCGACAGTTCTTAGACTAAGGTGACCGCCCATCTAGAGCGAAAGCGTTTATCATACCAGTTCTTAATGAATGCTTATTTAGCTCTTTCTCGACATTATATAAATTCATATTGAAAAACACAAAGCTACATAGAAAAATATAAGAAAAATAGTTGTTTATACATAAAAGTTGAATAAAAAAACCAAGTGCTCAGCTTTCAGTTCTTTTTATCTAGTTGATTCAAGTTCTTCAAAATTTATATCCTCAAGGCATGTTTACTTGACAATGCATCTATATAAATGCCTCTTGCACTGCTGTCTAGAGCCAAGCTAGCAGCACCATCTGATGTAGATGGCAGAAAAGTTAGGTTGATGATTGGTTGCTCACAGCCGTGTAGTCATGATTGAGTAGCTTAGCGTCTCGCTAAAAAGACATGCAAATGTCCTGAAAGTCGGGCACTTATTTGTGCTGCTGCGTAGATGGCACCCACACAGCTGCCCAAACACAGTTGGCAAACAACCGCCTGTAAGATTCTGCTGGTTTTCATAAAAATGACTGCAAAATCAAAGAAGACAACCTTTAATGACAGCTCTGCAGCATCAAATGTAAACAAGGCTTTTAACTTTGTCATACAATTTCCTCAATTACTTGTGTTCTTTCTGTCACCTTTTATTATTTATTTGATATGTATACATTGTGAAGGTGTTTATTGAACGCTGGTGTAGGGGTCAACTGGTAGCTTGATCAATGACAAAATTTAAGGATCCTGAGCGAGAGTGGCATCCACGAGCTATGGGCTGTAGCCGCAGATCCATTAAATTACATTGCCTGAGTACCGCTGTGGTGGGCACAGCGGCACTCAGGCAATGCGGACGCTTAACCCCTTCGTCTTCATCGTGCAGATGCTGCAGCTCTTCCCGGACTTGCTGTTCTCTGTCAGCGGTGGAAACGCCATCTTGACCACGGACACGTGGACTGCGCAGGCATTCAACGCATCGACACTACACGCACCAGATATCCTGCTCCTCGTGGCAGTTGAATCTGTGTTGCGTCACTACAAGGCAACCAGTGCAATCGACCTACAAGCAGCGCCACCACGGATAACCACGACTACAAAAGCGCCCGCACCAAACAACGCAGGCTGTGGGCACAGCGGCACTCAGGCAATGCGGACGCTTAACCCCTTCGTCTTCATCGTGCAGATGCTGCAGCTCTTCCCGGACTTGCTGTTCTCTGTCAGCGGTGGAAACGCCATCTTGACCACGGACACGTGGACTGCGCAGGCATTCAACGCATCGACACTACACGCACCAGATATCCTGCTCCTCGTGGCAGTTGAATCTGTGTTGCGTCACTACAAGGCAACCAGTGCAATCGACCTACAAGCAGCGCCACCACGGATAACCACGACTACAAAAGCGCCCGCACCAAACAACGCAGGCTGTGGGCACAGCGGCACTCAGGCAATGCGGACGCTTAACCCCTTCGTCTTCATCGTGCAGGTGAGAAGGGAACATGGAATTTGTATTCGATCAGACAACCGTTTCTTGCTTGTGCTGCTGTGCCCGCGGCAGTTTTGTGGAATTGTGTCAATATGTATAGACCTAGCGAAGAAATTATTGCTCCTTGGGGGCGATATTGAAACAAACCCTGGGCCTGAGCTAACCCAAATCGCAAGACAGATAAAGGAAATTGCTTCCGACATAAAAGAGATAAAAGAGAAGCGTCTGACCGATATTGATAAAAAGCTTGACGCAATAACGGAACTAGAAAAGAAAGTCGAAGCTTCTCACGGTGAAATATTAACATGAAACAGGTAATTGAAACACTGCAAAAAAGAATAGATGACCTTGAAAATCGAAGCCGCCGGTCAAACCTTATTGTGTACGGCTTAGCTGAACAGGAGGGAGAAACAAGTGAAAGCTTAGAACAAGCCGTAAACGAAGGTATTATTAAAGAAAAACTGGAACTTGAACCAGTTGCAATCGAACGTATACACCGATTAGGGAATGCACAGACAAATAAAGTCAGACCAGTGATTTCAAACTGCTGGATTCTAGACAAAAAAATGGAATACTCAAAAATGGGTACAAACTGAAAAACTCTGGCTTGTCCATTGGTGAAGACTTCTCGCGTAAAATACGGGAAGTCAGAAAGAGGCTTTGGGAGAGTGCAAAAGAAAATCGACAGAAACACGAGAAGGTGTCACTAGCCTTCGACAAACTCTATATTAATGGCCAAGCCTTCGTTTGGAATAACGAAAAAAATGACAAAGTTCTGCTTCGTCAAAAAAAGGACGACACGAAGGGGCGGCCTTACACTCGTCAAGGCACAAAATTAAAGAAATAACTGTACTGAATATAAATGCTAGAAGTATTCTAAACAAAATCGAAGCTCTTGAAAATCTGTTGCTTGAATATGAACCTGATGTTGTGGCTATCACTGAAACATGGCTCACCCCTGACGTGTACGACTCTGAAATTGCTCCCCCAAGTTATTCTGTAATCCGCAAGGACCGTCTGACGCGAGGGGGTGGTGTTGCTCTGCTGATAAAGAATCGCTTTTCCTTCCACGTTTTGGCGCACAATTTAGAAGCTGAAGCAATCTTTTGTAAACTCACGTGTGACTCAGGGACTGTGTTCATTGGGTGTGTTTACCGGAGCCCGTCATCGGGTCATGAAAGTATATCGGCCATTCAAGAATTCATGCATCAAAATGTGAGAAATTCGAAAGTACTGCTGATGGGTGATTTCAATCTTGCTGACATAGAATGGAATACTATGCATCACTCGTCAGCAGCCTCTGAAGCTCTCCTTGATATTATGCTTGCCTTTAACCTTCAACAAATCGTAACTGAGCCTACGCGCACACAAGGTGCCGTTAAAAACATCCTGGATCTTATCCTTCTCAGCCAACACTTCCCGATAAGTGCCGTTAAATCGAGTATTATTGAAGGCATTTCGGACCACGATATACCGCTATGCATTCTACCTATTAGCAATACCCAAATCAATCGTGACGAAGTGTCTGTGATTGCTGACTTTCAAAGAGCAGACGACAACAGCATACTAACACACTTAGACTACGAGTTTGCCAACTTTTCACAACTCGCGTCGGACGCATCATGTGACATAGACGCTCTATGGATTAAGTTCAAATCAATTATATTTTTTTGTATCGATAAGTATGTTCCCCAAAAAACTAGAAAACAGCAGAGGTCAAACCCATGGATCACGCGTGAAGTTATTCACTCAAAACGTCGCGTGAATCGTCTTCGTAAAACAGCAAAAAATAACCAAAGCCAGTCGATAACTTTAAAACTGCAGAACGCTAAGACTGATCTACGAGATAAACCAAAGCGGCAAAAGATCATTACTTTAACGTAACTCTGCCGAGTTTCCTTGCAAATAACCCTCGCAGGTTCTGGAAACATTTCAGTGTAAAGGGGGCAGTGACACAACTATCTGCAAAAGAAAAACAAGATAAAGCTGAGTCATTTAACAACTTTTTTCAATCTGTATTCACAGCTGAAAATAAAAATGTACCCTCTATTAGTTCGCGCATTACCACGACCATCGATGACCTAATCATTACAGATGCCGGTGTCATGAATCTTTTATTGAAAATTGATCCCAGGAAATCTAGTGGTCCCGATAACATTCCGAACGAATTTCTTAAAAGGTACGCGGAATGGAGTAGTAAATATCTCGGAATAATTTTTAGGAAATCCTTGCAGCTCGCTAAATTACCGTCTGACTGGAAATTAGCTAAAGTCATACCAATACATAAATCCGGAGATAAAGTCCTGGTATCGAACTATAGACCTATATCTCTTACAAGTACATCGTGCAAACTACTAGAACATGTTATTTTTAAACACATCACATCTTTCCTTGAACAAATACATTTTTTTTCTCCCAACCAGCATGGATTTCGAAACGGTTTATCAACTATTACACAATTGACCGAAGTTGTACATGACCTTGCACATAGCCTCAATCGCCGCAGTCAAACAGATATGGTCCTATTAGATTTTTCAAAAGCATTTGACAGTGTCTGCCACAACAAATTAATTGCGAAATTGGAAGCCATCTTAGGTAACACCTCATTCGCCAGTTGGATTAAGGACTTTTTGCTCAATCGAAAACAATTCGTATTCTTTGAACAAGCTACATCGAAAACCGTTTCTGTATCATCAGGCGTACCACAAGGATCAGTTCTTGGACCATTGTTATTTTTAATCTATATCAACGACATTGCAACAAACATCGACTCTAACATAAAACTTTTTGCTGACGATTGTGTTATATATCAGGAAATCAATAGCCATACAGATCACCTTGCGCTGAGTGCCTCCCTAAACACAATATCCGAATGGTGTAAACAATGGCAGATGTCAATAAACGTAAAAAAATCCGCTGTGATCACAATAACTAAAAGAAAACAGCCCTCAATATTCAACTATGCAGTCGACGGCACCATGCTACCTAAAGTAAACCAACATAAATATTTAGGGGTGACGCTTACTTCGGACCTTAACTGGACCCAGCACATAGATAACGTTTCCGCAGCAGCACTACGTAAGTTATTTTTTCTTAAAAGAAGCCTAAAACTAGCTCCCACCCCAATAAAGCTGCTTGCCTATAAGACATTTATAAGACCGATTTTAGAATATGCCAACGTGGTTTGGTTCCCGCATACAAAGACTAACATAAGGAAACTGGAAGCAGTGCAAAGAAAAGCGATAAGATTTATTCACAACAGGTACAGGCGCACTGACTCCCCAACTTACCTTTTAAACGCATCCAATCTAAAAACGCTGCTAGAAAGGGCGAAAGAAGCCCGCTTAAAATTCTTGTTTCAGATAATTCACAACAGTTTCAAGATAAACGTGTCGAAGTACATTTCGTTTTCCGAAACCCGACCTACACGCCAACAGCATCCCAATATACTAACAGAATATTCATATAGTAATGAAACCTTCAAGCATTCTTTTTTTCCACTTGCCATTAGGGAATGGAATCAAGTACATCCATCGATCACAAACACCAAATCATTCTCGGAATTTGTTAATAAAATTGAAGGCACAAGCAACTAATCCTCGACACAGAGAGGATATAACTACAGGCCTGTCTCAATAGTGTGATAAATGTATTCATTGTATATATTTTGGTAAACGCTATTTGTTCTTGCCTTATATTTATTGTAACCTC